TCTGCTTGTACTGTGATCTTATATATATGCCTGCATGTTTACTCTTGCTAGGTTGTGATCACTGTATCTCTTGCTATTTTATCAACCTGCATGTGAACTGGTCTTGTGACCACTTGCTTGTGCTCGGAATTTGTGTGGTATCCTTGAGATCCACCCTGAGCTTGTTTTGCTTTGCTTTGACTGGTCTTGTGACCCCTTGCTCTCCCCCACTTTGCCTATGGGGGTGTGTCAAACATTATATGTGTTGTGCTTGTTTAGGCTGCAGTGGGTTAGCCTATAGGGGGTACACAATTCTAGGGTTAGGTACTTGTACTCATTTCACTGCTAGTTCATTCATTCCTCGTTCAGTTCTTCTGACACATTTGATGCTTTTCACTACGCTTATAGGGATCCACGCGCCTCCTTAGCATTTGTCAGCAGGCACAGCGGTCGTCGCATGCGCCGAACTTTTCAATGCGCACGAACCGAGCTGAAGTTGCTCTGGTAGGTTTGTTTGAGCATGGGCCACCTGAATTTGCAACAACATTCAGGTCGTTCGATGCTTTTCCCTACGCCTATAGGGATCCACGCGACTCCTTAGCATTTGTCGGCAGGCACAGCGGCCTTAGCAAGCGCGGAGCTTTTCGGTGCGCACGAAACGAGTTGAAGTTGCTTTGGTATGTGTATTTGAGCATGGCCTACCCGAATATGCAACAGCATTCGGGTCGTTCGATGTTTTTCCCTATGCCTATCGGGTTTACTCGCGCTTCTTTAGCATTTGTCGGCAGGCACAGTGGTCGTCGCATGCGCCAAACTTTTTGGTGCGCACTAACCGGGCTGAAGTTGCTCTGGTAGGTGTATTTGAGCACGTTCCACCCGAATATGCAACAACATTTTGGCCGTTCAATGGTTTTCCCTATGCCTATAGGGATCCGCGTGCCTCCTTAGCATTTGTCGGCAGGCACATCGGTCGTAGCAGGCGCCTAACTTTTCGGTGCGCACGAACCGAGCTAAAGTTGCCCGGGTATGTGTATTTGAACATGCGCCACTCGAATATGCAACAACATTCGGGTCGTTCTATGCTTTTCATTACGCCTATAGGGATCCACGCGTCTCCGTAGCATTTGTCTGCAGGCATAGCGGTCGTCGCAGCCGCCAAACATTTCGGTGCGCACGAACCGAGCTGAAGTTGCTCTGGTAGGTGTGTTTGAGCATGGACCACCCCAATATGCAACAACATTCAGGTCGTTCGATGCTTTTTCTCTACGCCTATTAGGATCCACCCTTCTCATTTGTCTGCAGACATAGTGATCATCGCAGTCGCCGATCTTTTCAATGCGCACGAACTAAGCTGAAGTTGCTATGGTAGGTGTATTTGAATGGTCGATCCGAATATGCAAGAAAATTCAGGTCGGTCGATGGTTTTCCCTACGGCTATAGGGATCTACGCGCTTCCTCCGCATTTGTCGGCGGACATAGCCGTCATCGCAAGCGCCGAACTTTTCGGTGCGTACGAACCGAGCTGAAGTTGCTGCCATGCAACGTCGGAAAACCTATGCACGATTTTTATCGCTTATCATTGCAAAACATAAAATAATGCATTGAACAATGAACAAATATTGATTGTAGAATGAATAGGATTTTACAAACTTGTGGAGCTTGAAATGAGGCGTTGATCTCTTTGAGACAAGTAGTAGGTGCCGTTCGATTTGGGCCGGTACTGTAAGCTCATTCTATGCTCAACCTCGCACATGGCACTCCTGACCTGCCTGGAAGCACCACACACCTTCCGCTCCCCATCTCCGTCCAAATCCCCCAATCCCAATCCGTGCCACTTTTGGAATTCACGCCCAACACTATCTCCTCCCTTCTTGTTCCGCGCGCGCTTCGCTTGTGACAGCCCCCTGCTTCTCCCTTGTAAGGCGGTTGTTCCTGCGGCTGCTCCACCACAGAACATCCACTTTTTCACGCTCTCGTCTCACCGACAGCGGGCGCTTAATCGCTGCCCTCCGCTCTCCGCGCGTTTAGCGGCGTTTAGGTTACCAATCGAGTTAGAATTCCTCCCTCGAACCATCCCAACAGCATAGTCACCTACGTTATTCTAATTTCAGTGAACAGCTTGTAGCATCGTAGAGGTAGCTTCCTTTCTGCGTCGCGGTCTTTCAGCCGACGTGCACTTATCGCATAGCCTGAAGGTAGAGTCGAGATGAATCGCATATTTGGCGTGAAGAAAGAGAAGACGCCGGCACCGAGCCTCACGGAAGCGTCAGAAAGAGTAAGGACAAGGGTAGCTTCTTCCTCGCGGTATCCACGTCGCCCTTCCTTTCTCTCTCGCCCTCGCCCGCCCTCCTTTCCTCTATCGCTGTCCGCCTTCTCGTTCTCTTGTTTCTCCCCCTGATATTTGAATTTGTTCGTCTCCTCTGCCCCTCTCTTCACCACCTCCCTGCACCTCTATCATCGTCGCCCTCTCTCATTCACACCATCTTGTGACCGTTTTTTTTAGAATCTCCGTGCGTGTCTTGTCGTCGCGTGCCATGCCATGTCATCTATCTTACCAACCCACCCTGCACACTCTCCACGATGCCAGATCAATGCGCGCGGCGATTCGTTAGACGAGAAGATTCGCAAGCTAGAGGCGGAGCTGGTGCGGTACCGCGACCAGATCAAGCGCACGCGACCCGGGCCGGCGCAAGAGGCGCTCAAGGCGCGAGCCATGCGCGTGCTGAAGCAGAAGAAGATGTGAGCATCCCACGCCGTGGGTCACGGGGCGTGGTTCACGGGGCGTGCAATATTAGGGTGTGGTTGGCGTGGCGGTTGCTCTCACGTTGTGGCGTCTGTTGGCCTGTGCGTGTGTCCCAGTGTGCGTGGAGATAGTTGTCCTCTCTGCGCTGTCTCTCTCGTAGGTTACCATGCTCTCTCTCTCTGCTACCACCTCTCTCCTCCTTGCATGTGAACATTGTGCTGCACTTCTCGCATCGCGCATGGTGCATGGCGCATGGTGCATGACGCATGGCGCATGGGTGGCGGGTGACAGGTTGGAGGGGCAGAGGGACAACCTATACAACCAGAGCTTCAACGTGGAGCAAGTGGCGTTCGCACAGGAGGGCATCAAGGACGCGCAGGCCACTGTCAGTACCACCTCATGCCAGCCCCCGCCATGCCTGCAAAGAGCACATTCATGCCACACGAACCGCACCACTTGCTGCGGCATAGAGGCTGGCAGTTGAATCTAACTCGCGCTTTCTCGTGCAAGCTCACCCTCGTCCATCCTTCCCTTCCTCTGTGTGCTGCCACGTCCCCACTACTCCTCCAACCCCCATTCACCCCCCTCACCCATCCTCTCGCCCATGCGTCCTCACCGCGCATGCGTGACTGCAGGTGGCGGCCATGAAGGCGGCAAATAAGGAGCTCAAGACGCAGATGAAGTCAGTCAAGATCGAGGACATCGATGTGAGTGCCACACCGCACCGCACCGCACTGCGCTGCGCGTTCCACACTTCCGACTCCTCCTTTCTGCGCTACCCAATCGTGTGACCAAGGAGACCCTCTACTCACCTACTCTCCTCCACGGCTCCCCTCCCTCGTGTGATCCCTGGGCTGTGTGTGGGCCGTGCATGCTCTGTGTGTGGACGTGGCATGAGGCAGAGCATGCAGGACGACATGTTCGACCTAATGGACTACAGCAACGAGATCCAGCAGGCGCTCGGCCAGTCCTACGGCGTGCCCGATGACATTGACGAGGACGAACTGCTTGGAGGTACGCTGGGATGGGATGGGATGGGGCATGCCGTGGCATGCTGTGGGGTGGGATGGGAGGGTGTGGGGTTGGATGGTGTGGGATGGGGTGGCGTGGGATGGCTTGGGATGGTGAACGTGAGGTTGTTGTGGGCATGCGCAGTGGAGGGGAGGGATTTGGTGCGAGTTGGGAAGTAGTTGAGCCCACCGTGTGCTGTTGCACCTGCATTCCTGCTTCTTCTGTCCCCGCTCCCTTGCTGCTCATTTTCCATCTCATCTACCCCCTGCCCCCTCCGTTCCTCTCCCTTCTTCCTTCCCCGTCTTCGCTTTCCCCTCCTATCTCCCCGTGCCGCCTCCCCTCCCCGCCCTCCTCCCTCTCTCAATCCGCCAATTCACCCCCGTGGTGCCTCTGCGCATGGCATGGCATGGGGGCATCAGAGCTAGACGCATTGGAGGCGGACATGGGGGTGGAGACAGCGGACGCCACGCCCTCCTACCTGCTGCCCGACACAGAGCCCGACCAGCTTGAGGCCGAGCCCGACCTCTTCCTGCCCTCCGCTCCCACCGCCAACGCCGCCTCTGCTGTGCCGGTCCGTCCCGTTCGGCAAAACTTGCTCTGCTCTGCTTGCTCCGCGTTGCACCTGTGGGCACATGCATGCACGCCTGCGGAGGTGGTTCAATGTTGAGTTGTGGCTAATGCAGTTCCCCTGTCGTTGCGCTGTGCAGGTGGCAGAGCCAGCTCGCCCTCTCCGCACATAACCATCTCCCTGCTCCCACTCGTTTATAAAACCGCGGCAGCACTAGACTCCCATGTGTTGTGTGCTCACGTGGACACCATTATGCCAGATGCTCACTCGTGCACTGAACTGTAGCACAGCGAAGACCTGCCCTAGCACAGCACTGGCTGGCTCTTGATACTGGACTTAGCACGTTGCACCTGTCCGCTCCCTAGTGTGTGGCAAGGCAACACGCACTGTGGATACGGTAGTTGAGTGGGCAGCAAGGGCATGGAGGTAGAGAAGGGCGTTGCGATGCAATGCATTCACGAGAACCACTTCTTGTGGCTCCTTAGTGAGTGACTGTGACGGTGAGGGACAGTGACACTGAGCGCAGCTGCAAGCAGCGCACCTGCACCTACGGTAGGTACCTCTCCTTGGTCTTGCTAGGTAGGTAGATTCTTTACTCCTGCGTCATCTCTCCAGTGTGCGTGACACTGTGAGAAGCTCTAGGTACCTCTGCCAAACCTGCCTGAACCATGTGCAGCAGCAGCAAGTTCTTGTGAAGCTATGGAGTCATGTTCATTATACGGAGTAGTGTGCATGTTAACCTTCGGAGATATACACTACACTGTGTACTGCTCGCGTTGTAACGGAGAACCAGCAGTCATTTCTTGGCGCACATGGCGGCTGTCGCGTGTACCCACCTACCTACCTTCACTACATCCTCCACTGCTTCAGTCCTCTGTCCGACCACATTCACTGACGCACACATTCATCACAATCTCTTGACCGATTAGGCGCCTCTCGTCTGATCCTTGCTCTGTCGGCTCTGCCGTTGCTCGTGCCCTCACCACGACGATCTTGCGCTCGCGTGCGCGCGCCTCTGTCCCGCAGTTTTATCGCGCATGACTCGTCGTTGTTCTCCTTCATCGAACTAGCCGGCGCGCTCTCGCGATCCTCCATCCTCCTCCCGCTATGCTCCTCGCGCCTTGCTCCCTGCGCCTCCCCTTCCTTCCCCGCCTCGCTCCGCTCCTCCTGCTCCTCCTCCTCGCCTCCCCGCATCTCCCGCCGTCTCTCGCGCAGAGCCAGTCGCCGCTATCCGGCCAGGGGCTCGCGCCTTACCCCACGCTGCTGACGCCGCCGGGTCGCAATGGGCAAGGGGACCGCCGCGCGCTGCAGACGGAGGGCGGGGGGACGTGCGCGAGCGCGGGGGAAGGGGAGCCCGCGGTGCGCGCGGCGTACACGCCGGTGTTCGTGTCGGTCGTGCTGAATAAGCTGCTTGATGTGAGTGAGAGACATCGGTTGCGCACCGCTGCGCGCGTTACTGCGCACGTCACGTGGCTTCCCGCGGACAATTTTCACTGCCGCAGCGCTATGCGCCGCGCTCCAGGCTCAATCACCGCGTCCTCTCCCTGCGCCTGCCAACCCCCCGACACTTCCCCGCTTTCTCCCCTCCCCGCCCCCCCGCGCGCAGGTGGACGACGAGCGGTACCAATTCGAGGCGATCATCCACCTGCGCATGTCGTGGCACGATCCGCGCGCGCCGCTCGAGATCCGCCGCCGCACCGCCGAGACCTTCCTGGCGGGGAACCCCTCCGCGTGCGCGCGCGTGTGCGCCAAGGGGCGCTCGCTGTGCTGCGACTCGGTGTGGCTGCCGGGCGTGATGGGCGGGAACCTGCTGTCGCTAGAGGACGAGCGCACGGAGTGGGAGGCCATCGCGCTGCAGCCCGGCAACCACAGCAACGTGCGCTGGGGGCGCCGCCTGCGCGCCACGTTCCACGCCGCGCTGCGCTTCCACCGCTACCCCTTTGACACGTGAGCCATGGCAGCGCGCACAGGCGGGTGTGGTTGCCTGCGAGGCGAGGCGCTGCTATGTGCGGGCGCGGGAGTGGGAGCGGGAGTGGGAGCGGGGAGTGGGAGCGGGGGATGCGTGGGTTCGGCCGTGAGCCAGAGCTTGAACCGTTGCTGATGCTGCCCCTCTGCGAGTCCATCCATGCACAAGCTGCATTCCACGCCCTCATCGCTCCCCACCCGCATGTCCCCTCCCATCCCTCGTGTCATCCGTGGCTCGCGTCCTTGTGCTGTGTGGCGTGCAGGCAGGAGCTGGTGGTGGAGCTGTGGGCGGAGAGCTGCTGCTACTCCTTCGTGCCCAGCGCCGCCGCCATCCGTCGCCCCCGCTCCCTGCTGCCCTCCGCGCACACCCCGTCCCACCTTCACGACACCGCCGCTCCCTCAGGCGCCGCTAGCAGAGGCAGCACGTTGAGGGTGTCGAGGGGTGCCGAGCGGGGCGGAGGGGGCGAGCAGGGCGCGTGTGCGGCGGGGGCGGGTGAGGAGGGACGATGGGAGCGGGCCGGACGACCTGTCGGGGTGGCAGGTGGAGAGCGTGTACGTGCAGGCGCAGGCGACGCACGTGGGGCGCATGATGCAGTGGGTGGAGGAGCCCCATGACCACGAGGTCTTCAGCGTGCGCGCTGAAGAGCTCGCCGGTGCCACGCTGGGCGGGGGAGGCACCACATCTGGCATGCTGTGGGAAGGGGAGGAGGGCGGGGAGGCGGAGCGGGGAAAGGAGGAGCAGGAGGGGGGGGAGGAGGCGGGCGAGTGTGGGAGCGGGGGGGTGGCGAGCAGCGAGTGGAGGGCGTGGCAGGAGCGGGAGCAGCAGGTGGCAGCGGCGTCGCTCAACTCAACGCTGCTGATTGTCATTCGCGTGCAGCGCATCTGGCACTACTACCTCTTCCTCTTCCTCCTCCCCACCTTCCTCGCCGTCGCCCTCTCCTGGACCTCCTTCTGCATGTCCCCAGCGCACCTGGAGCTGCGAGTGGGCACGGGCGTGACGCTGTTCCTCGCGCTCACGTCGCACCAGTTTGTGATATTTGACACGCTGCCGCACTCCAGCTACGTCACCATCATGGGCTGGTTCATCATCTGGTCCTACGCGCTCATAGTCTTCGCTGTGCTGCAGTCGCTGCTTGTGAATTATGTGTACTGCATTGGGGAGACGGCAGCACGCGAGCACAATGAGTCGGTGGCAGCGCGGGCGACGAGACGCCTGCTCATGGGGTCTGCAGGTGGAGTGGGGAAGGCGGCATCAGGGAGCAGGGACGTGCATGCCAGTGGGAGCGGGAGTGGGAGTGGAAGCGCGGGTGCGAGTGGGAGTGGGAGTGGGGGTGGGAGTGGGAGTGGGAATGCGGGGAGGAGTTGCAACGTGGTGCGGCTGTCCTCTGCGGGTCGCTGGCCCAGCCTGTCCCCGCAGGCCCTCTCCCTGCTCTGGCGCCCCTCCGCCTCCGTTGTTGCTGCTGCTGCTGAACCGCTGCTGGCACAGGAGGGACCGGCAGGTGGAGGGGAGGGTGGGGGGAGGCATGGGGAAAGCAGCAGGGATGCTGCTGGGATGCGGGGGAGGAAAGGTGTCGAGGAAGGGAAGTACGGGGGAGGGAAGGGGTTGTATGAGGGGAAGGGAGAGAGTGAAGGGAGTGTGCTTGCAGGCAGGAGTGACAGCAAGCCCCCACAGCACACCGCCAGTGGTGGAGCGCGGGCAGGTGAGCGTGGGAGCAGCGACAAGCCTTGTGCACCAGTGATGCGGCCATGCAGTGGTCCCAGGGAACAGGAGGGTGAGGTGGAAGCTGTGGCACAGCAGCCAAGCGAGCAGGAAGGCGAGTCGGAAATGGGAGCAGAGAAAGGTAATCGACGGGGTGGGTTGTTCCCTGAAAGCGATTCTTTTCCGGGGCTGTCTCACCTGTCGAAGCGCATTCAAGAGACGGTGGCGCAGGCGGGGCAGCTGAAGGGCATGGTGGAGCAGGACCCCAACCGTGCCAAGATATTCATCTCTCGCCTCGATGGCCTCTGCCTTGTCACCATGCCCTTGCTCTATGTGGGCGGGCTGCTTTGGATCTACATGGTTGTGGAGTGACAGGCAAGGATGGTATGGAGGGTTTAGGGGGGGTAGGATGGATTGAAGAGGCTTTTCAAAATTGTTTCAGTTCACTACATTTTGTTGGTTCCGTTTGTAAATATGCACGTTATATTAAAATTTGAGTTGCAACTGGTTGGTGTTCTGGTTGGTGCTTTGTCATGACGCACAGCGTGACGAGGATGGTGCTTACGATAAATTGCCGCGAGCTTTCGCCTGCGCACTACCCGTCGCGCACCTTCCAAGCCGTTCAAGCATTCCGGGATGTTTCGCCAACACCTCATCACCCTTTCGCCAGTCGCCCGTCAAACCCCTGACACTCGTCTGGAATATTCTGGTACACTGCTCTGCCCCTGCGACTCCACGTAGTCGGGGCAGCTGTGGCTCTCCTATCCAACCCCTTGCCAGGTTGCGGTGCGACCGCGTGTATTTCATGGAGGAAGAACCGCGCAATCTCCAAATCTGCACATCAAGCCTCCAGCTATTTCTGAACCAGCCTCCAGTTGTTAGGAACTCTGCAATATTTGATTGGTTGACCTCAGCCGCAATCCATCCTGATCGTCCGTCGAAGCCCAGCTGTTTTAATCTTGCCGATCTCCAACCCCTGTGGTTCCTCGCCTCTGGCGCACAAACCATACGCATATCGTGCAGTGCGTCCACGTGTAGCTTGGCCCCCCCCATTCCCGCTTTTTCGCCCTCCCCTCACCTCCGCTCCTCACCTGCCCTCGCCTCTCCTCGCACGCATCCCGTCCCCTACCTCCAGCCTGCTTTTAGACGCACCCTCGCGATCTTGGTTCTTCTCTTATCCCTTCCCATCCCCACAGTTCTATTAGGTTTGGGTTTGACCAGTGTCAGTGGAGTTCGTGCTCTGACAGCCTTCAGGTTTTTCGCTTTCAAGGAACCCCTGATTCTGCTGTCTACGCCATCGCCTCTCCAGCGATCGCCTTGAGCCGTTGCCACTGCCTGGCATTAGGGTTTCGGCTGTATAAACTGAGTTTGCGGGTTGGGCCGTCTTTGGTTCCTTCTCTGCCTGCGAAAGTATCCTCGAGCAGTGCCATGGCTTCGCTGTCCATGACTCACACGCGCGCGGCTGGCCAGGCAGCATCGTTCAATTTCCTTCTGAACTCGTCAGGGCAGGCAACACCAGTCACCGTGTCCGCGTCGGTGGTTCCACGCGTGACCAGCAGCCATGCGTCGTCGTCATCGTCGCAGCCGTCTCGCTCGTCTCCCCCAAGCACGCCCTTCGTTCCGAATTCGAGTTCTCCTCGCGCTCCTCTGGCACCGTCCCTCAAGGCTACCGTGACTGATTGTCCGCCGACCGATACCAAGTCGACGAGCATCACCCGCCAAGGAGACAGGGCTAATGGTTCACCTACGGATAATTCGTCTTCCTCAGCTAATCTTCAAACTGATCCTCTGCCGGCCCTATCTCTGGCGACAGCGGCACCCATTCTGAAGTACTCCCCTGAAGGCAAGCTGGTGGTGGGCGTGGGAACCATGTCGGAGGCCGATTGGGCTGCCGCCTTCGGCATCAACTCGGGCCATTTGATTCCCGTTACCGGCCCTCGCTCCGCGCAGCTGCTGCTTCCGTCGCCTGCGTCCATTTCTCGTCCCGCGCTGCCTCCCACTGTGTCGAGCTCGCAGGAGCCGGCTTCACGCTTCGCCGCTATTGGGGGTCAGGCGGAGTTGAATGGCTCGATGGTCGCGCCTCCTCAAAACCAGGACTTGGACAGGGACGGTGCTGCGGCGGTGATGGAAGAGGATGTGTGGCTGCAGATTCGTGCCGAGGCACGTGCAGCTGCGGAGGAAGAGCCAGCTCTAGCGAGCTACCTTTACTCCACCGTCCTCACTCACAGGTCGCTGGAACCAGCGCTTGCTGCGCATATTGCCAACAAGCTCTCGTCGCCAACCTTGCTCGCGTCGCACCTGTTCGAGCTCTTCAGAGAGATCTTTCTTGACGACCGCAGCATTCAGGCCGCCATCCGCGCTGATCTGATGGCGGTGCGGCAGAAGGATCCAGCATGCGACGGTTTTCTCCTCTGCTTCTTGAATTACAAGGGATTTGCTGCTCTGCAGGCTTACCGCGCGGCGCACAGGTTGTGGCAGCAGGGTCGATACAGTATGGCAATGGCGCTTCAGAACCGCATGTCGGAGGTCTTTCAGGTGGATATCCACCCCGCCGCGCAAATTGGCAAAGGGGTAATGCTGGATCACGCAACGGGAGTGGTGATTGGCGAGACCGCTGTTGTCGGAGACGAAGTGTCCATGCTGCACAATGTCTCGCTTGGCGGTACTGGCGCCATTGCTGGTATTCGCCACCCACGCGTGGGTAGGGGCTCTGTGATTGGTGCAGGAGCCCGGATTTTAGGTCCTGTGACTCTTGGAGAACGGGTGAAGGTGGGAGCGGGTAGCCTGGTGTTGACAGATGTGGAGGCAGAAGCCACTGTGGTGGGCAACCCTGCCAAGATAGTGAGGAGGAAAGGTGATGGGAAAGGGAATGGCGGAGATGAGTTTGTGCTGGACTATGTTATCTGATTGAGAGTTAGCTAGGCATGGGCGTCTTGTGCCTGGAAACGTGCCTGACATTTTTTTTGTACATGCTCCAACATTCATGAAAGGCGTATCCCTTATTTCAGTCTATTGATAACAATCGCTACCAACTAATGCTGGTAACCCTATAATTGTAATATGATCGTGACAGGAATTGTTTGGGACGGTATACCATTCGCTCAGGGCAAGTATACCCGGACAAGCTGACATAAAAAGGGCAAGTTTTATTATGATGGGCAAAGATCATATTGGGGCCGGAAAATAGCAGAGGGGTGTCCAAATTAGGGCCGGGTAGTCGAACCTAGACATTTAGAGTAAATTACTGGAATTCCCATAATCGTGAAATTGTTTTTACTTGTCAGAGGTTCTTACGCGTCGTGACGGATTGAAAGGAAACTTTACGCCGATAGCGCCACCAAGCACTAGACGACGCTACCGGGCACTGTTAGGGAATAAAAAAACTGAAACCCTTAGCAAACCCGGACGGTTTTTCGGGAGGGATCAACCCTAAACACGGGAACCCGCAAGGAGTTTAGGGTTGATGCCTCCCCGAGTCGCATCCGTTTCCGAGTGGGTTTTATTTTTTTTGTCACGTTGAGTGATGTGTCTCTTAAAAATATACACGAAGAAACATACTTCCAGAGGAATACGACGCGAGCTTCGTATGAGAAAAATATTGAATGAAAAACGTCAAGATTTCAGTAATTTCCTCAGAATCTCGGTTCGGGTAATCGGCCCAGCCACATGGGCAGCTACGGGGATGTATCGAACGGTCAGGATTTACCCGGCCCTAATTTGGACACCTCCCTGCTATTTTCCGGCCCCAATATGATCTTTGCCCTATTATGATAACGCGTACAAGGACAGCCCGTCCCTCGTCGTCGTGCGGCAGACACACTGGGCACACAAGATCGGCATGTCAGCGTCGCACGCACGAAGGAACCAAGCCATCGTGCTGCGTCGTATAGCTCGACATAAGCACATTTTGAGCCTCGTTACAAGCGCACAAGCGGCAGCACTCCAGCGACCAGCCCATCACAACCCTCTCCCGCCATAAACTGGACCCCTGTCGTCTTGCTCTCACTTTCCAACTCAACCGCACCTCGAGCTTGTCTGCTGGTCTGCCTCGATTTCTCCTACTGGTTCTGGTTCTGACACTATTTTAATTCAGTTCGATCATAGTCCCAGGCGCAGATAATCGTCTATTTGAGTGGTCCTTTCAGCTCCGTCCTCTGCAGACCCGCCGGAATGCTGCATGTGCGCCATGTTCGCAGTTAGCTCCCCATCGACTTGTATGGAGGCCGTACCGCGAGGACCAACGGTTGTTGCCCTCAGCATGACTTCCCAAATGTCTATGCTTCCTTCGAGCCGTCCTCTCCGTAGTCCACCCCGCAACTTATCGTTATCGGCGCGCTTTCCCGCCTCCGCGCCTCGCGTCTCGTTAGTCTCGCCGTTACTTTCTGTTAGGTCGAGCAGATCGTGCACTCCGCGTGGAGGCTTGTCGCTGCTGTCAGATTTCGCGGGCCAAAGATTATCAGTCACACCCGCTGGACACGACCGATTGTTACGAGGACGTGTGGTTGTGAGGCCGGCTTTAGCGCCGGGAGGCGCGGTAAAAACAGGGGATGGACGGATGCGGGGGGTCGTGGCTAAGGCCAAAGCCATTGATGCGCCGCGAAAGACAGAAGTGATTAGGTGAGGGTTTATGAAGGTTAGCTGATGCGACACTGCCTGGCATTGATTTTCGCATGCGTTACGCGAAGCTGACATTGAACCTGGCTTCCGGACACGCCATCCTCGCTGCCATTGGGGGCCGTTAATCCGCGCCGACCCCATTCGCGCCACTCTATCGTCGCCACACCCTCGTGCCGATCCCCTCCAGCTCGCCCTCCTTGCTCTCTCCCCCCACTCCCCTTTCACATTCGCATTCTCCGTCCTTGCCACACAACCTGCGTTTCCCGCTGCGCGCGTTTGTGCGCGTGTTGCGTCCATCCCCGTGCGCAGGCTGAAGGCGAACCAGTGGGTGTACGACGTGTGCGTGGAGCGGCGCTGCACGGTGGCGGACATCCGCGCGCTCAACCCCACCGTCGACATCGACCGCGTCCTCGCCGGCCAGCGCCTCGTCGTCCCGCGCCGCCCCTCGCCCTTCGACCCCATCGAGCGCGAACTCACCCGCGCCGCACAGCAGCTCTCCACCACCTTCGCCGCCGGCCCAACCGGCGGCGCCGCGCGCACGCAAGCAACCACCGCCCCCGCCAGTGCTGACTCCTCCCCCGCTCCCTCCGCGAAAAAGCCTGCCGGAACGACCGCCCCGCCTGCTCCGACCGCTCCTCCCCCCGGTCCTTCCCCCTCCCTCCCTTCCGCAGCAGGCCCGTCCCCCTCCGCCGCGCCCACGAAACCGGCGGCGCGCCCGTCCAGCGGGTCGTGGCTGGACTCGCTGTTGGGGGGCCCTGCGGGGGGCGGGCGGCCCGACGAGGTGGAGGAGTACGTGCTGAAGCGCAAGGAGTGGGTGTGTGACGTGGCGAGCCGCCTTGACGTGGACATCGAGTATCTGCGGCGCCTCAACCCCGGCGTCAATCTCGACAACGTGCGCCCCAAGCAGCGCATCAACGTTCCCAAGAGCCGCGCCGCGCGCCTCCGTCAGCAGCCGTCGGCGGCACGCGGGGCTGACGTGGCAGGGGCGGGGTCGAAAAGGGGAAAGGAGGAGGAAGAGAAGAAGGGGAAGGAGGGAGGCGGGGTGGCGATAGGGGATGCAGGTGAGAGGGACGGCAGGGCGAAGGGGGTTGGCGCGCCGCTGAAGAGCGCTGACGGGGGGAGTAAGGCCGCCGTCGTGGCGGAAGCTACAGCTTCCGCTTCCGCCTCCGCAGCTGCTTCCCGCGATAGGCCTTCCGCGCGCCAAGCCGCAACCGTGGCTGCTCCCCCTCTCTGTCCTGCCCCCCAATCCGCCCCATCTCCCTCCCCTGCCCCCTCGCCGTCCCCGTCCCCACCATCTGCGCCATCCGCCTCAGCCCCTGTGTGCGCGCCTCCGCCCATCTGCAAGCCGCCCGCCTCGGCGGGGCGGGAGGGGGCCAGTGCGGGCAGTCAAGCGGGCGGCGACGTGTGCGCCGTGCAGGAGGCCAAGGGCGCAGGTGCCGCGCGCGAGGCCAAGGGGGGTCCGGCGCAGGGTGTTGCGGCGGCGGGCGCGGTGGTGGGCGGAGCTGGCGGAAGCAGAGGGGCGCCGGCAGCGGAGGCATCTTTCTTTGATGCAATAATTCGGGGGATGAGCGGGGACGGCAAGCAGAAAGATAGCGCGGGGGGGACGCTGGAGAAGCCACAGCAGAAGGTGGCAGAAGCTGCAGCGCCCGTGAAGCAGCAAAAGCATCAACAGCAGGCGCCACCGCAGCAACAGCAGGCGCAGGGGCAGCAAGGTGCGAACCAGAGATGGCGGGTGCACCGGGTACGGCGAGGCGAGTGGATATCCTCGTTAGCAGCGGATTACGGGCTTACAGTGGAGCAGCTACAGGACATGAACCCCGGCGTCGACCTCGCCAAAGTGAAGCCCGCGGACGAGATCCGCCTCCCCGCGGGAAGAAGGCGCGCAACGGGCGCGGCGCTCCCCCTGGAGGCCGCGGACGTGGAAGCCATGGGGGGCGCGCTCGTGGTGGCGGCTGGCGGGGCGGACAAGGGCGGCGGAGGCGGAGCAGCAGGGGCGGGTGGGAGCGCGGGGCCGCAGGGTTCCGCGGCCGGGGCAGCGGGGGCGCATCTGGCGGGCGCGCGCGTGGGGATGGTGATGCCGGGGGACAGCCTGGCGGATATTGCGGAGCGGTACGGCGTGGCGTGGCAGGAGCTGGCGGAGCGCAACGGCGTGCGCGAGGGCGAGGAGGGCGGGGGGCTGCAGGTGGGGCAGATACTCATCATCCCCGAGAAGAAGCCGCACCAGGTCGCCTCCATCGGGGGCGTGGGGCACTGGCTCGGCTGGCAGAGCGCGGGGGGGAGAGGCGCGGCGGCGGCGGGCGGGGGCGCGATTCTGGCGCAGGCGCCAGCGGGGGTGTCAGTGTCGCTGTCCATTGCGCTGGTCGTCGCGTCGTCCCTCGCGGCCGCCGCCATCATGCGCCTCAACGCGCCGCTGCTCTCCGCGTCTGGCGCGGGAGGGCTCGTTTCCAGCCTGCAAGCGCTGCCGTCGCGACTGCCAGAGCCCATCGCGAGTGCGTGGGCGCAGGTAACGCGCGGCCGCGGCGCGGACGGCGCTGCAGCAGGCGCGTCGCTGTCGTCCCTGCGCGATTCCGCCACGACCCCCACGTGGGTGGTGCCCCCTGGGTGGTCCGCGCCCACCCACGCGGACATGCGCACCATCCTCGCGCTCTCCTCGCTCTCCCCCTCCTCCCCCTCGCTCGGTGGCCTGCTCGCGTCGCAGGGCGTCGCCACGTCAGCCGCGCTGCTGCCCGCGATTGACGCCGCGTGTCGCGCTGCAGCGGACTCGTTCCTCGCGTCCGGGCCCGTCCTCGCCGCCGTCGCGCTGCTCCGCGCGCCCCGCGCCGACCCCAGTCTCCTGCGCCTGCTGCCCTTCCGCCAGCGCCCGAAAACAGTGAAGGTGGGGGCGTTGGGCGCGCAGGGGGTAGGGGGGGCGGACGGGCGGGGATTGGCGCGGGTGGCACTGGCAGCAGTGCCGCAGCTGGTGGTGGGGAGTGAGGCCATAGGCGCATGCGTGTGGGCGGAGGGAGGGGGGGCGGCAGGGGGCGCAGTGGATGGGGTGGCAGTGAGGGGCGCGGAGGGGGCGGGGGAGGGCGGGGAGGAGCAGTACTCGGTGGGGGTGCTGCTCATGTCACTGCCCCCAGGGATGCGCATGGCAAGCGCTGTCATAGGCGAGGGGGAGGGACAGGGTGAAGATCAAGGGGAGGGCAAGGGGAGTGGCGGCGGTGGGACGGAGGCGGTGGCGTCGGCTCTTGCTGTGGCAGTGGGCAGACTGACTCAGGCCATGGAGCAGGTACACACAGCAAGTGCTGTTTAGCATGGGCGTGCACTTGTCACTCACTGCCAACAGAGGTTCCGGTCAGTTTTGTGCACTCGCCTGTGCAAGAAACAGACTCGGCCGTATGTTGGTGTCCACGCTCGTCACTCCCTGCAGTGTGCCCCTTGTGCATGGTGGGTGCGCATTGTGAGTGCAGGGCCATCCATCCCCCCTCACTACTCTCATCCATCTGCGTTCATCCTCTCTGTGCCTGTTTTCAACCCAAGTCTCTCCCCTCCCCTCCATCCCTCCATCCAACATCACCCCTCACCTCAGGACCCACTTCAGCCGTCCCCTCGCCTCTCCTCGCTGCTCGCCTTGCTGCCCTTTGGGGCTGCATCCTCGGCAGCCGACATTGTAAGCACCACGCTGCCCCGCATGCCGTGCCTTATTTCCCCCTTCTCCGCTTCCCCTCTTCCCGCCTCCACCCACCCACCCCGTTTTCCATTTTCGAGTGCTACTTGTTTTCTTGCCTGTCTGGGCGATGTCATGCACCCACTCCCCTTCCCATTGTCCAATTCAACCTGCACCTTATTCTTTGCCTGTGGCCCAATCCCTGCCTCACTGCACTCCAACCATGCGCCACCACTACGACACCCATTCCACCGTATGCTTTCCCTTGTGCCCCCCGCCCTGCAGCTACCATCCCTGGTACCAGACACGTCCCTGTACCTCATCGCATCAGCGCCCAGCCCCTCGCCGCGCCCGCACTGGCACGTGTCTCCGCCCCTCTCTCAGCCCGACTCCACTCCAGACGCAGCAGCAGCAGCGGCAGTGGCAGCAGCAGGGGCGTGGGGCAGGGGGTGACAGTGGTGGGGATAGCGGAGGGCGTGGATCTGAACGGGGCGTTTGTGGCGTCGGTGCTAGGGCAGTGGCTGTATGGGCCCAATGTCACGCTGCTCTCCGTGCCCCCTGCCAAGAAGCGCAGGGAGCCCATCAGCTCATAGGCCCAGTCATCGTCATCCCTTGGCGTGTCTGACTGGGCAAACTGCAGGGATTCTCTTCATGTTAGGAACCTGTGCTGAGAGCTTGTGTAATCTAGAGATGGGTGCGCGCGTGGTTGGAAAGGGCGGGGAGAGGTGTTAGGGTGGGGAGGAGGCAGTGATGACAGGCACAAGGCGTGACAGGCACAGGGCCTGAGGGCCCGTCAGTAGAATCGTGGAGACTGGCAGTTGCCCTGTGTGTAGGTGGTTCCACTAGGTGGTTCTGTTGCTATAGCTCTTATCTTGCTATTGCCACTAATGGCACGCTATAACACAACCCAGTGCTAGACAAGCCTGTGGAGTAGGTTGTCTGATCGTGTAGTTGCAAAACATTACGCTACGGTATTAGAAAAGTCTCAGTAAGTGAAAACAGCGGAATGAGTAGGATTGATAGGGTTGGGGTACACATGCCTAACCCTAACTGCTTGTACCCCATATAGCATGACCCACAACAGGGTATAACATTTGACACACCCCCATAGCCTAAGTGGGGAATGCCAAGCAACAAGAAACGCAACCTAAGGTCACAAGACCAGTCACAAACAAAAGACAAAACAAAGCTCAGGGTGGATCACAACGTCACCACACAGTCTGAGCGCAAACAGCGGCCACAAGGCCAGTTCAAGAGTGTATATGCAGATATATACTGTACAAGCAAAGACAAGAGACAAGCACTCACTACTGCAGTCTACTCGACCCAGTCTCAACGAGGCCCAACTGCAGACAGAACCGACGGTGGTCACAAGGCTGAAGAGCCTTGGTGAAGATGTCTGCAGTGTTGGCCTCGGAGGCCACGAAGTCCAGACGAGCCTGCCCGCGTCTCTGCAACTCTCGAAGGAGGAAGTACCTGACGTCGATGTGCTTCACTCTGCTCTCCAGTCGAGGCTCACGACACAGGAGAATCATCGCCCTGTTGTCAGCAAACAGGGTCGGTGCAGAGCTCGGCCGCTCACCAAGGTCAGTGAGCAAAAAGGTCAACCAGCGTAGCTCCTGAGCAGCAAGGGCCCCAGCGTAGATCTCGGCCTCTGCGGTAGAAGTCGCAACCGAGGAGGACCGAGTAGACCTCCACGAAACAGCTCCAGAACCCAGGCTGAAACAGTAACCCTGCGTAGACCTCTGAGTCTCAACGTCGTCGGCATAGGAGTCGCAGTGACCGGTGAGTACAACTGGCTGTGTCCCTCCAAGTACAAGCCCCATGCCTGATGTCGCGCCAAGGTACTTCGCCACCCTCTTAGCCGCCGCCCAGTGAACAGGACGGTGTCTCCCAGTCGCAACAAAGCGAGACAGGATGCTAAGAGGGAAGGCGAGGTCCGGGCGAGTGCACGTCATCAGGTACATGAGGCAGCCCACCAGCTCTGCGTAGGGACCACTGGGCTCGAACGGCTCGTCAGGAAAAGGCCCAGTGAGTCTGTGGTCTACAGCAAGAGGAGTGGGTGTAGGAGAGGAGTCCTGAAGCCCGAACCGCTGAAGGATCTGCTGCACCATGTGTGACTGAGTCAGAGTGATGGTGCGAGCGGCTCTGTCCCTGGAGATCTGCAGGCCAAGGTAGCGGCGCAGTTCTCCAAGGTCAGTGCACGTGTGTCTCTTCTGCAGTTCGGACTTCACCTCCGCCAGTGCAGCTGTGTCGGCTGTGGCAAAAACCAAGTCGTCAACGTAGACCAGAACGAAGAAAGGTGTGCGCCCACGACGAACAAACAGCGACGGGTCGGCGGAAGACGGCTCAAACCCGAGGTCGGAGAGAGTAGAGCGGAGAGTGTCGTGCCACTCACGGGGTGCCTGGCGGAGACCGTAGACCGGTCGTCTGAGGCTCCACTGGGTCCCAGGCGGGAAAGTGCCAGTGAAGCCCGGAGGACGACGCAGCCAGATCTCCTCGTGTAGGCGGCCCTGGAGGAAGGCAGTGGAGAAGTCAAGAGAGTGTAGCTCGTAGTCTCTCTGCGCTGCTACGTGCAGTAACACCCGAAGAGTGGTCATCTTCGGGGTGGGCGCGAAGGTCTGAAAGAAGTCAACTCCCTCACGCTGACTGAACCCTCTAGCCACGTAGCGTGCCTTGAAGACTGGGGGAGATCCCGGCGGCCGCTTCACCTTGAAGATCCACATGCCATCAACGATGTTCGCCCCTGGTGGGGGAACCTCGTCAACGTAAGTGCCTGTGGACCTGTAGGAGGCCATCTCTGCGTCCATGGCAGCTCTCCACTGAGAGGCCCAAGGCCCTGACACTGCCTCAGCGTAAGTGCGAGGAGTAGGTATGTCAGGAGCGTCGGGGTCTCCCTCAGGAGTGAGCAGCATGGCACAGAGATGAGGCGAAGCAGCTGCCAGGAACTCTAGCTCAAACTGTCTGTCCTCTAGGACGTCACAGCCAAGGGCAGACTCACCCCCGGCGGACAGAGGACGGACAGGAGGAGCGGCCACAACACGAGTAGCGTAGTCAAGGCGACGCGTAGCAGTAAAGTCAGTGACAGCGGCAGTGAGGACCGCGACGGAGGAAGGGGAGGCACGAGGGTCTGTAACAAGAGAGGCGAGAACACGAGAGAGAGTGGGGCGGTACGTGCGGTAGTAGTCAGTGACCGGAGTGGACAGGGAGGCAGTGAGGGAAGACTCAGGAGGACGAGGAAGGGCCGACGGAGGAGAACGAGGAGGACTAGGACGAAACAACACGGTACGGAGGTCAGTGACAGGGGACGAGGGACGAGCACGAGGAGGACGAGAGGCCCAAGTGTGGGCGAGAGGAGTGGGGGACGGAGGAGACAGAGAACGAGGGAAGACAGCCGGAGTGGAGTCCGGAGGAGGAAACGTAGGACCGAACACAGGAGGAGAGGAGGGGAGACCAAGGGCCCGAAGGCCAGAAACAGGGGCGGAGGCTGCTGCGGCTGCTGCTGCTGCTGCTGCTGCTGCTGCTGCTGCTGCTGCTGCTGCTGCTGCTGCTGCTGCTGCTGCTGCTGCTGCTGCTGCTGCTGCTGCTGCTGCTGCTGCTGCTGCTGCTGCTGCTGCTGCTGCTGCTGCTGCTGCTGCTGCTCCCGCTGCAACTCCAACCTCTCACTCTCCACCCGCTGCTGAAGCTCCAACCTCTCACGCTCCAAACGCTGCTGCTCCTCGCGCTCAAGACGAAGACGGGCCTGGTGGCGAGTCGGGTAAGGGTGAGGAGGAGGAGTAGCGTGAGGAGACGACGAAGAAGAACCTGCTCCGCCCTCGACAGCACCCGGCTGAGCACCCCCAGAGCGAGTACCCCCCGCGGCAGCACGACCTGCACCTGCAGGAGGTGTACCTGACGTAGTAGGGGACGGACTCGTCGAAACGGACGTCACGAGAGTCAAAGAACCGGTGGGAGGGTGGGTGGTAAAAGGTGAAGTCAGAGGAGCCCTCTGGGAAACCAAGGAAGACACAGGGGACTGCACGAGGCGAGATCTTGTCCGCAGAGGTGTCGCGGACAAGAGCCAAGCAGCCCCAGACACTAAACCTCGACGCAACACCAGGGGACCCTGTCCAAAGACTGGTCGGTGAAGCCCCTGGCCGAGAGACGCGAGGCCAGAGGTTCAACTGGTGAGCGGCGTACCGAGCCGCGTAGGGCCACAGAAAATGGGGCGCGCGGGCGTGGATCATGGAGGTGCGGGCGATCTCCATGACCAGGCCTAAGCGGCGCTCAGCAACCCCATTCTGCTGTGGAGAGTCTGGAAGAGTCCAGGACTGGGTGATGCCCTGCTCAGCACAGAATCTGGCGAGAATGCCGGAGCGAAACTCACCCCCACGGTCGGAGTGGAGACAACTGACACGACGACCACGAGCAGCCACCGGATCAGCGTAGAAGTCACGTCGGACTTCTTCGCCAAAGGGAACACGGTGGTGTACCGAGAGAAATCGTCAACGACCACCAGAAAGAAACTCTCCCGCTCAGGGCCAAGGCGGGAGGCGGGGCCCCAGACATCTAAATGGAGTGTCTGGAAGGGCTCGGTGGCCGGACGAAGGGAGGAGGAGTGAGGGGTGGCGCGAAGCCGACCCTGGACACAAGGACCGCACGGAGGAGCTGGGGACGGCGGGAGTGGCGGGAGGACTCGGGGGAGGCCTAAGACAAGACGCTGACTGGACATGGCGCGCAGACGAGGAAGGGACGGGTGCCCCATCCGGTGGTGCCACAGAACGGTGGGGTGAGCAAGCGACCGACACGAGCACGACGCAGCAACTACACCTGACACAGCAACCTGACTGGACCCGGCTACCTGGTGGGACGGGGGAACCTGACGGGGGTCGGTGCGGAGGGTGTACAGACCAGAGCCCGGCTCCTGGCGGAAAGTGGCCAAGGGGGCGTACGTGTCACCGTCGACGCAGACTGCGGTGTCACCAGAAGGCTCAACCCAGACACCGACGTGCTGTCTCGCCAAGGTGCCCACACCAACCAGGTTCCTAGAGAACGTAGGAACGTGGAGGCCGGTCAGGGAACCAGAAGGAGCAGCTGGGCACGGGAGAGTAGTGGCGTGAGTCGCAATGACCGGTCCCGAGGAGGGATCGGCCAGTGCTACAGGGACAGGCGCCGGTAGCGGAGAGAGAGTCGTGCAGTCGCGGAAGAAGCAGTGCGACGCTCCTGAGTCCAGTGTGAAGGAGAGAGACGTGTCCGCCGAGGGAGTACCTGTACTAGTAGCTAAGCAAGATCCTACACTAGCACCTACTCTAGCAACAGGCAAAGATCCTAAGCTAGGTACAGGCAAGTACACAGATCCAGGAGCACTATAGTCAACATCAGCATACATGGCATAAGACCTAGCATCATCCATAGTCATATCAAAAACAGCAATACCACGAGCAAGCAGCGTCCCCCAGCGTGGCGGCGGGGGAGCGGAGGGGCCGTGGTGCAAGCGGTAGAGGTCGTCGAGACGACTGAAGCAGCGTGCAGCAGAGTGGTCGGGGCGGCCACAGTACGTGTCCCTACGAGGACCCGTAAGGATCCAGTACTCACAGGGACCAACGTCGCGGCCGGCCGCGCGAGGTCCCCGACTGGAGGGGGCGCCACCGCGCCCAGTGCTCGGGGGACCCGCAGACCTCCACTGCTGCGGAGGGCCCCACTGCTGAGGCTGCTGCTGCGGTAGGCGCTGCTGCTGGCCCTGTCGCTGCTGCTGCTGCTGTCCCTGCGGTGGCAGCTGCTGAGGAGTCGGCTGCTGCTGCTGCTGGAACCCCTCACCACCAGTGAAAACTCCACCGTCGAAAGGAGGGCCGTCAGGTCCCGAGCCACCCCCACCACCACTCCCACCACCTGCTCCACCGCCACCGCCACTACCCGCACCACCTCCAGTACCTCCGCCGCCCTTCCCGCCCTTCTTGCCGGCCTTGCCACGTTTCTGTCCGCCAGAGACAGAAACAGCCGCCGTCTCCTCAGAGGCAGAAGACGTGGGAGTGGCAAGGGAGGCAGAGAAGGTGGGAAGCTGTGGTACCGCACACCCCTCAAAAAGACGAGGAGGAGGCGCGGAAGAGGCAGAGGCAACGGTGAGGAGGTTACTCTCGATCTTCGAGAGAGCGGTCTCAAGAAGATCGATTGTAAGCTCAGTGGGGTGCTTCAGAAGAAGCGCGTCGCGGGCTGTGGCTAGGCGGTCAGGGAGGCGAGTGACTAGCCAGTGAATAGTGAGCCACATAGGGGGCGGGGCAAGGGCAAGCTGGTCCTCAGTGCAAGCAGCGCGAAAGCGAGCGTCAAGGGAGCGCAGGTGAGTAGCGAGGTCAGAGACAGTCTCAAAGGAGGCGAGGTCAGGGTAGATAAAGGGTACGAGGAGGCGACTGAGCGACGCAGAGGAGGGAGTAGAGTAGCGAGCAACAATAGCCTTATACAGATCTGCAGCAGACTCGACCTGAGCGAAGTGGACTGCCTCTGTCGGCGGGAGAAGGTCGGTCAGGGCGAGGCAGGCAGCGGCGTCACGAGACTCCCACACGTCGCGAGCGAGGAGCTGGCGCTGGTACTCGGCCTCCTGCTCAGGAGTAGGCGGTGGGGTAGTGGGCAGCGGGCTAGGCTGCTGGGGAGCGGTCTGAGTACCGGATGCGTGTGCGAACAAGTGCACGCCATCCTGCCGCTGGCTCTTAAGGTGGCGCTGCGCCTGCGTAAGCCACGTGCTAAAATCTATAGGTCGCCCTTCAGGGTCGAAACGAAGTACTCGGGAGGTCGCCATAGAGGGCGAGACTGAGAGAGCGCGGCTGCCAGCCGCGGGAGGGGGGGGACAGCCAGTAGCGAGGATGTAAGCTCGCAGGCGTGCAGGCGAGGAGGAGGCGTAGCATGTGGACAGGAGGGCTGCTCAGCTAGTGGACTGGAGGGCGGCGCGGCGGGCTGGCCTATGGGCGGCGCGGCGTGCAGGCCTACGGGCTGGACGGCGGGTCGACGGACGGGCCTGCAGGCGGCGCGACGCGCAGGCCTACGAGCGACGCGACGCGCGGGCCTGCGGGCTGGACGGCGGGGCGACGGGCAGGCCTACGGGAGGCGCGACGCGCGGGCCTACGGGCGATGCGACGCGCGGGCCTGCGGGCTGGACGGCGGGGCGACGGGCAGGCCTACGGGAGGCGCGAGCGACGGGCAGGCCTACGGGAGGGTACGCTGGCGTGGGCGTTGTCGTGGCGCGGGCTAAGGCGTTTTAGGTCAAGTGTCGATCCTAGGAGGCGACCTAAGTCTAGGAACGGCGCCAATTAGGTGAGGCCTAGGAACGGAGAACCTACTGCTGATACCATCTCAGTAAGTGAAAACAGCGGAATGAGTAGGATTGATAGGGTTGGGGTACACATGCCTAACCCTAACTGCTTGTACCCCATATAGCATGACCCACAACAGGGTATAACATTTGACAAAAAGGCTGTTTATTTTGTTTGTGCCGCTGTGCAGCACATGCTGAAAGGTCCTAGGCAGTGGTGGTAGCAGGCAAGGATTGCCCGCCGGTCCAGAGGGGATTAGTGACGGCAGGGGGGAACACTAGAGTAGGGAGTGGGAGTGTTGTTTGAGCAACAGAGCAGGGTGTGGTGTGCACGGCTAGGTATCTCTGCACGTGCACCAAGCACGTTCACCGGTGCTGCGGAGTCAAAACAGTAAGGTTTGCATGAACCAGGACCCACGTGCACAGCAGCATATGCAGCATGAAGAGGCGTGCATGGTGCGGGCGGTTGATGGCTGTATCGTATCCATCACACATCAAGGTACTCGCACTCATGCAGCCTCTCCAGAATCTGCTCAAAATTGGGCCGCCTCTCTGGATCGTCCTCCCAGCAGTCTGCCACAGCCCATGGCGGGTTGTGAGGTGGAGGAGGAGAGGGGAAGGGTAGGGTAAGAATAAGTAGGAGGTGACAGGCAGGGCCGACAGAGAATGGGCTCACAGCGCAACCTGAAAGTCACACACGGAGAGTTGGTGTGAAAGTGCACGCACTAGGAAGAAAGTGTGTTCCTGCGGAGAAGATAGAAACTAGCAGAGGAGTGAGGTGGTGTGGGCGGCAGTGGCGTACCTGCTATGAGCTGGCCTAGCATGCCGTCCGGCACAGGCAGGCGTGCATTGCGATGCGCCACTGCGTATGCCACCTGCCATTCACACAAGCGAGCGCACAGTCAAACCAACAGCATTGGAAGGCCAGAACTCCAGCGAAAGTGAAGCCTCCATCTACTCACCATTCCCCTTTCCTTTCCTTCCCCTTCCCCCCTCTCCCCTTCCCCTTCCCCGCCCTCCTCTCCCCCTTCCCCCCACGACCCCCCCCTCACCTCGAGCGGGTTCTTAACTTCCTCCCAGGGCCGGCGCAGAGTGACAAGCTCCCACATGATGACGCCCATGCTGAACACGTCGCACTTGAAGGAGCACGGCTCGTTGCGCAGCAGCTCGGGCGCCATCCACTCGGGCGTGCCCGCTGCCGTGCGCCCCAGCACGAGCCCGTCGGGCGCCAGGCGCGAGAGGCCGAAGTCACAGATCTTGACGCACCAGTGCTTGTCCACCAGACAGTTGGCGGACTTGAGGTCCCGGTGCACTATGCTCATGCGCTGCACGCACAGCATGCCCCTGGTGGTGCCGTGGGGAGGGGAGAGGGAGAGAGCGTGGGTGGACGGCAGACGAGAGGGAAAGAGAGAGTGGGGGGTGTAGGAACAGAGAGTTGTGGGTGCTGAGGATTGGGCATATTGGCTGACAGGGGGAAAAATCGGAGTGGTGCGAGCATGTATGACCCGAGCAGCGGTTGTGTGAAAGAGGCCAGCCCACACCACAGATGCCAACAATGGCCTACACCCACCCTATTCACCCGCAGTCACCGCCAGGTGCTGCCATCCATGCCCATGCAGCCTGGCATCACCCATTCAACCACCACCCAGTCACCACCGTCTACCGACCCTCTCCCCCGCTGACCTGCAGATATCTCTGAGCATCTTGTAGCGGCGCTTCCAGCTGAGCGACTCGCCGCCCTGGCCGGGCTCGCGCGAGTGGATGATGCGGTAGAGCGACCCCATGTGCATGTACTCCGTCACCATGCACACCTGCGGCGGCTGCACGCACGCCCCCATAAATAGCAGCACTGGGGGAGGGAGGGGGGAGGTTGAGGAGGAAGAGGGGACGTTGACAGTGGGGAGGAGGGTGGAAGGGATGTGGGGGAAGGATGGAAGGGAGGAAGGGGATGGACGGAAGGAAATGGAAGAGAGGGAAGGGAATGGAATGGGTGGGCGAAGGGGAGGTGATGGGTGTTTGTGATGGCTGTGAGAGAAGCATGGTGCAACCAGCAGGATGCAAGTGCGGTGGGGTAGACGCGAGACAAAGGGGGACGGGGCAAGGGGAAGCGAAGTGGAGGGGAAGGCACAGAGAAGAGATGCGCATGAAGCGAGATGCTGGACATGTGGCAAGAGGAGAAGGAGAAGTACCATTGGGGTGGCGCAGCCGACTGGTGAGAAGTAGCATTCAGCGAGATGTATGGTGTTGCAGGATACAGGCACACACACACACACACACGACAAGCACCACACACACACCAAACAAGCACATGCACGCCCACACCAGACAAACACACACGCACACACACAGAGACAAGCAATGCACATGCGATGTATGAGATTGGTGAGTAGAGAGTGAGCCGTACAGCACACACAAAGCACGTGGGGTAACTTGATCCGTAAGAATGGTTTGCATGCACAGCCGCATGGATGCGAGAGCATGGCGATGAGAGCAACGCAAGAAACAACCGGCACAACTGAGTGGCAGTGGGAAAGAGAAGGCAGCAGCAGTGGGAAGGCAGCAGTGGGGAGGTAGCAGGGGTTGTGGTGTGACCTGAGCAGCGAGACCTCGTTGTAGAAGTCCTCATACTCCTCCGGTGATGGGTCGTCCTGCACCAACAGCTGCTTCACCGCCACCTCCGTGCCCCTCCACACCGCTCTGAACACCTCCCCAAACGACCCTGCAACCAGCACCCAGAAAGGGAGGCAATGCGGAGCATACAAAGAAGAGAGGACGTGCTTGAGTGGAGAATGAAGGAACCACGTCAAAGCATGAGCAGCGAATGGCATGGGCACATGCAGCAAGCAGAGCAGAGGCCCATGAAAGCAAGCACGCACCAATGCCCACTCGAATGCCCAGGCGCAGCTCGTTGAAGTCAATGGTCCACTGCTCGCTGCCGCGCATAGCCTGTGCTGCCATGGCCGGCACGGGCAGCAGTGCCGCGGGAGCAGCAGGCAGCGCAGCAGCAGCGGGCATGCCCTGGCGTTGACTCCCCGGTGCAGACGACAGTGCCCCACTGCCCGGGGCTGAAGCACCAGGAGGGGTGGGGCGCCGCAGAGAGGCCGGGTGGGAGGAGACGGGTGGCGGTGGCGAGGCGGGGTGGTGCGGGCGAGGCGAGGCGGACTGCAGAGGGCTGACGTAGCCTGAGCTGCCACTGGCGTTGCCCAGAGACGCTTGTGACCGATGGCTCATGCCCGCCCGCTGCCGCTGCATGCTCCCACTGCTCTCACCCGCACTGGCAACCCCACCTGCACCTGCTGTTGCACCTTCACCTCCTGCTGCTGCCGTTGCTGTCCCTGACTGCTCCCCACCACCTGTCTCCTTCCCCTCTGCCCCTGGCTTCTGAGAGCCCTCTGCATCGCGACCTTGCTGCGCCATTGCTCCCTCCTCCCCATCCCTCTCCTCCCCATTTTTCTCCTTTCCATTCCTCTCCTCACCACCTCTTTCCTCCCCACACCTCTCTTCCCGACCTACTTCCCTCGCACCTTTCCCCTCCCCATCGTTTTCCGCCGCACATCCATCTTCCCCACCGGCCTCCTTCCCCTCGCCCTCCTCTCTGGACCTTTCCTCCCCATCCACTCTTGTAATTTCCTCTCCTTGCCCCTCCCTCAACTTTCTCTCTTCCTCACCACCCTCCTCCCCACCCTCCCCACCAGTCCTTGCACCCCCACCTGTGCCGCCAACATCCCCCTCTTCCGCCCTCACCACCCCTGCTTCCGCCCCCCCACCCTCCCCTGCACGCGGTTCCTCTCCTCCCGCGTGCCCCGGCCCCCCGCCACTGGAGTCACGGGAGAGTGACGGGGCAGCAGCGGCGGCGGGAGGAGCAGCGGGGGTGGTGGCGGTGGAGGGGGTGGTGGCAGCAGTGGCGGGGACGGCAGGGGAGAGCTGTGCTGTGGTGAGCGGCCAGTGCTGGTGGCATGTGGGACACACACGCTGGGCGGGAGACGAGGAGGGCAGGGCACGTGGGAGGGAAGAGAGGGGAGAGTGAAAGGAGCAGGTTGGAAAAAAGATGGGGGAAAGGGATATGGCAGTGCGGACTTGGAAGAGGGTACATGGGAAAGGGGATAGTGGGAAGGATGCGGTGAAAAGAGGTCGCTTGCAGGATCTGGTGCATCCAGGAGAGCGAGGAGATGTTGTGGACACATGCACAGGGCTGCCATGGCACGGCAGGAGAGGCGACAGAGGGGGAGGCGGTGGACCAAGGAAGGGATGGGCACCGACCAGGACAGAGGAGAAGGGCGCAGCAGAGACGGAGGTGGAGGAGGTGGGGGGGAGGGGCGAGGGAGCAGTGGAGGGGTCGGTGCCATCCGCCGTGAGCGGCTGGTCCCCCGCTGCTGCCGCCGCTGTCTCCACTCTCAACGCCCTCCTGTCCCTGCGAATCGCCTCCTTGTACTCCCGCACCTTCCTGGAAGCACCCAGCCATGCAAGCAGAGCGGTGAGGGGCGTTAGGAGGAGCGAATGGACACGGGTACTGTGGGAAGAGCATGGCGCAGACACACATGAGGAGACAATGGCAGGGTAGGGCATGGCGTGGCGCGGTGTGGCATGGCATGGCAGGGCAGGGCATGGGGGTGCAGTGCAGTGCAGAGTGTGCGGCGTGGCAAGGCAAGGCATGGCAAGGCATGACTCACTTGGCGACCTCATCGCTGACCTCCGGTGCTGTCGTGCGCCGCCTCCCCCTGCTCACACCCACACACGGGCATGGCCACGCGGGGAGAGGGCGGGCAGGGGGAGTGGATGGGGGAAGAGGGCGGAGGGGAGAGGGTGGGGAGGAGAGGGTGGTGGAAGCGGGGGCGGGAAAAAGAGAGCAGAATGCTGAGGAGAGGCGGATGGGATGATGGGAGCAGCCATGCGAGCAGCTGAGCAGTGGCTGGCTGGAGGCTGGGAGTGGTGTGGTTCCATGGGTTCAATCGTGACAATGTGGCATAATGCATTGCATGGTGCATGGTGCATAGTGCATGGTGCATAGTGCATGGTGCATGGTGCATAGTGCATGGTGCATGGTGCATGGTGCATGGTGCATGGTGCATGGTGCATGGTGCATGGTGCATGGTGCATGGTGCATGGTGCATGGTGCATGGTGCATGGTGCATGGTGGCACTAAAGCAGAGCAGTAGGGCGTGAGGGTGGTAGAGCAGGCATCAGTCTCACCGTGGAGCAGATGGTTCTCCCACTCCTCTGCGCGGGGGCGGTGTGGGCAGGAACGTGCGATTCCTGCCAAGCCATGCCATGCCACACCAGGGGCAACAAGGGAGGTCAATAAGGCAACAGAGGTTGAAGCAAGTGAGAAATCAAATATAGCTCGACGGCAGCTTCCCACGCACTCCCTGCACGCCCTGCACGCACGCCCTTATCACCTAGCCTCCCATGTATGCCCAAGCGCCCTGTCTGCCCACCCACACGTACTGCTCCATGCCTGCCGCCGAGACCTCTGCCGAGCCGTCAGCAGCAGAGTAGGTGCGGCGGCGCACGAGAGGGGGCGCGGGCTCAAAGGGGCCCACAGGGGGCGTGGGGGCCAGCCCCCCTGGTGGCGCGCCTGCTGCCAGTGACGCGGAACTGGATGCTGCTGTATCCCCACCCAGTGTTGAGCTGCTTCAAGAAGGGGAGGGGGAACATGGTGCATTCAGGTGGGGTGTGGGTGCGGGATGCAGAGAGGAATGGGATGTTGTGACTTCATTGCAACATAGCATAGTATGGCATGGCACCACACAGCACAGGACGGCACAGAACAGCACGGCACAGCAGGGCGTGCAGCACACCTGGGCGGGAGTTGCCTGGAGTCCTCAACATCTGACCCCACAGTGTTGTGCCGGTATTGACTGCACACAGCAGAGAGCGCGCACACGAGCCCACATGCGCACCGTGAGAGAGGGAGAGAGAGTGCACGAGAGAAGTTGCTAGAGAGAAAGAGGAAGGGCAGGCGAAGGAGGGGAGGGGCAAGCAAGGCGCAGCACCTGTGGGAGGAGGAGTTGTCGAAGGAGCGTCTGTGCATGGGCGCCAGGGACGCCCTGGTTCGCGCTGACATGAATGAGTGGTCCGACATGCTGCCATCCGACCTGCCATGCCACACACACATGCGCAGAGCACCCAGGGGGTGTGGTGTGGTGTTATGGTTGTGAACATCACGTGGTGTATGCATGCGGCTGTGCACTATATGTCTTGCCGCACATGCCTGGCTGGCCATGCAGCAAAATCGCAGCGCCGCGGTGTGGTGCTAGCAGGGAGCATTTGAAGCTCAGGGGAGCAGCACAGCATTCCCCAGCGCCCACCACCACGCAGCTCACCTCCCTGCGCCTGGCGGTACTGGCCCTCCCATTGCCGCTGCCTGCATCCCCCCCACTGCACCCATCCCCCCTGCCCCTGCCGCGAGTGTAGCAGCAGAGGAGGGCGGGGTGGGCGAGTCGTAGCCGGAGGAGCTGACAGCCGCCACGGCTGCTGCAGCTGCCGACCCCATCCTCTTGTCTGACCTCGACCGGTATGCCTGCGCTGCCTCGGGACTGCCACACGCTCACATGCCACACGGGAGCAGAGCGGGAGAGAAGGGGGGATTGTGAGGGTGGGGCGGCGGTGTGGGTGGGCTGAGAAGAGAGGAACCACACGTGGTGAATGCATGAGATGATGCGGCTGGAATGGACTCTCATGCCTGGCAGGATCCTGACGAACCTGCCAGGGCATACCGGCAGGTGTCACAAGTGGAACACAACAGCGCCAGGCACACGTGCTGCAGGCAGTTGGTGCGCTGTACGGTTGTAGTACCTGGTTTCAACGCTGCCAGAGGGGGGTGTGTGGCGCATGAGGTAGGCGGCAGCGCGTGTGGTCATGGCGACCGCGCCCTCCGACTCGCTCACAGCACCGCTCAGCATGGACATGCGCTCGTACCGCCCCGGACCCCCCTCGCCGCCACTCATGAATCCGCGCTCACACGCGTTGGCCGACCGCGAGTGCTGCATGTGCGTTCTGTGATGCACAGGTGGGAGGGATGAGGGAAGAGAGAGTGAGGGGCTGTAAAGGATGGGCGGGACTAGATGGTGGAGAAACAAAGGCGTGCAAAAGTAAACAGAAGTGCTCCCAGGAGCACAGCACACAGAAGGCGAACATGACAGCGCCCCTTGCAAGCATTTCACAAGCGCCAGTGAGCCTACTGCACTCTCACATACTACATCACATTGTAACGCAGAACAAACACCTCTGCTTACCTGCCCCCTCTCTCACCCTCCCTGATCCCCTCCCCTCACCCCCTCCTCTTCCCCGCTCCCCCTTCCCCACTCCCTTTCCGCATTCCCCTTCCCCACTCCCTTTCCCCCTTCCCTCATCGCCCTCCCCTCCCCCTCCCCTTCCCCCTTCCCCCTTCCCTTTTCCCTCGTCCCTCTCCCCCCTCCCCCCCGCTGTGTGCAGCACGGACCTGCCAGCGAGGTGGCCCAGCCTGTCCTCCTGCATGGCCCTGCGCCTGCTGCGGTGCCGCCGCATGTTGCCCTCGGGCTCACTCGTGGGACTGCCAGCACCGGCACACACACACACACACACACCGCCACGCCACACCAGCCACGGGAACATGGGGATCAGCAGAGCAGCAGGGTTGGGGGACAGGAACAAGGATGAGTGGAGGACAGGGTCACATGCAAGCTGGCAGGCAGGCTGGTAATACCTGCACGCCTAGAAGATAAAAGACAACACAACCGAGCCTGTGAGCCTCTCAGCTTCTTCGGCTGTAACACCAACCCATGCCGCAGTGATTGACTTCCTTGCCTTACCCATTTCAGCTGTGTGTGTGGCGTTACCTGAGGGCGCTCCCCGAGGGTGCGGCAACAGACGGAATGGCGAGGGCTGAGGGCGGGGCATAGGCAGCAGGGCGGCGGGAGGAGGCGCCAGAGAGGTACGACATGTAGCGCTCCACACTGCAGTGCACGCACACGGGGGCACAGGACACCAGGGGGAAGAGTGGTGGTGACGGACAGGGACGCACGGTTGGGCGAGGAGAATAGGGCGACGACAGGAGGGTGAGACCAGGACGAGAAAACGAAAGAGTGACGGAAGGAAGGCAGGGTGAGAGGAGCATAGGGTTGCGAGCAGGGCTTACGAGCGAGTGGCGGCGGCAACGCCTGTGCCTGAGACGCCGGTGGCAGCGGCATCGAGGGGCGTGGGCGCGCGCATGGGGTGGCCTGAGAGGGCGGGCTGCGAGAGAGCCGCGTCCACTGGGTCCAGTGACGACCCCGTCAGTGATGACAAGGACGGCCCCACTCGTGCACTGGCAGGGGGGGGGGAACGCAGGGGACGGGGGAAGGGACGAAGGGCGAAGGTTAAGGGCAAGGGGCGAGGGGCGAGGGGGGGATGGCAGAGGGAAACACAGAGAAACATTGCAGAGAGATTTTGCAGTATGCGCTGTGCGGCAGGGGGGGATTTGAGGTGGGGCGAGTCGTGACGGAGAGGCAGGGTGCGAGAAGAAGCGAAGATAAAACTAGCTGGGAATGGTGCGGCAGCAGGAGCAGAAGGCGGTGAGAGAGTACCTGGATCGGAAGGGGTCCATGTTATCACTGAGAAGGGACGGCCGCCGAGCAAACTCATGGCTGCACCCACACACACGGAGGGGCATCAGGGGCGGCTGGTGAAGCCATGTGCAGTGCGAGTGAGTGCGAAGAGACAAGTGGTCACGATCAAGGCCCACCAATGCCAACCACCCTTGCGTGCTTTGCATTTCTGTCTCGTGTGAGGGCTCACCTGGGGCGGCCGCCATCCAGGTTGTCATTCAGCAGCGACGGACGCCGAGAGAACTCGTTCCTGCTCAGTACCAGTCCAGCAACACGCAGGGACAGTGAACACGTTTTGCATGAGTACACAAGGCAATGGATCTCCCAGGCAAACTGACTTCCCGCGACACCGGAAGCATCAATGTTCACAAAATCTTGGCTTGACAAACCGTCACTGTCCGCTAACCGCCCGCACCCAACGACCCACCCAGGTTCGAGGAAGGAGCAAGAATCCAGATCGCGGCGCTGCGAGCGGGCGCGGGAGGACATGAAAGGAAGCTCGCCGCCGCTGCCGTACCCCTCGCGACTACCCATGGCCCCGTCACGCCCGCCCTGCACCCACTCCCTGGCTCTGCCACTGCGCCGTCGCTACAGCCCCCGCGCCAACGTGATAGCCGCTGCTAGCGAAACCGTCGCGACCCGGTAACGGTTTCAATGTCGTGGCGAAAGGATGGCGCGCGCGTTCTACATAGGGCCGGCCGGTGCCGCCCGCACTGTAAGGGTTCTGCAGCCCCCTCCCGCTCTAGACAAACGGCTGCCACTACCTCCCTAGGCTGACGTCCGCGGCGAGTCACAGGCGGACGCGTGTGCGCGAGGTTGAGGGAATGGTGAGACGTGACGGGTGGCGGCGCGGTGATCGCGTTGCGCGATGGTCAGTTGGCGAGGCACTTGCCAACGAGGCAAGGGGCGAGGAGAGGAGATGGGGAAGCAATCGAATAGCTGGCGGGAAGAAGGGCGAGTGCACGACAGTGGATCGCCGCAAGCAGAAGGAACGGGGGACACTGCTATACCGACGCGGTGGTGCCTGTCGGCGTAAATGAAGACGGCGCAAGGAATGATAGGTTGTGCAGTGTCGACGATGTTGAGAAGAGAGAATACTTCTGACAGTGATGACTACCGCAACCCGATGCACAATAAGAAAGGCGGTCCCCGGAAAGAACAGTTGGATGCAGTGGGGATTGCAATGTGAGGGCGAAAATCCTGTCCTTCAGGCAGATAAATGACGAGACTGGGCTCTTCGCCACTACTCTCGGCGGCCACCTAAGATCGAGGACCACGGTGCGACGTTGACGCCCGTGATTCACACTAAGCTACTCGGATCCCGCAGCACAGACCTTGCCACTCGCCTCGCTCGGCCTGACACGAACTACGGTGTACAATGCCAATGTCAGAACAAGAGAGCCGCATAAAAGGCTGGTGAGAGGCTACTGCGAAGGATCGGCCTCTCAAGCTCAGTCGTAGTCTTAAGGCACGACTTGAAAGCCATGACCGAGGAGAGCACTGAGCGGCAGAAGCGGCAGGCTGAAACCTTGCTTTCAGACCAGTCCAGGCATGAGTGGAGGAGAAAGGTAGGTTCCCAGTGCTCCGTTTCGAAATGGGTGAGCAGGATGACCATCGCAAGCCTCGCAAAAGTTGCTGCGACTTCCCCGCACCGTAGCGAAACTCGCAACCTTGCTGGCGACTCCTTGGGATGCTGCCCGACGTTACCTAGGTTACATCCGGACCCCTGCATTCACACTCGGGCCCTCTCTCGAGTTTGCCAAATCCCAAGATTTCAGGATTTTGGATACCAGGGCTGGACGAGTGTGAGACTATGGATATGATATGGGGACGGGTGTGGGACGAACACCACAATTGAAGTGTTCGTCGTGCTGTGGTTCGGTTCTACAATTTGATACATTCCATTTTATATGCGATCGTTCAGCAATTCAAATCCGCGTACAGTATTTGTGGATAAACATCGGAAAAGACTATCGAGATCATTTGGGCAGGGGTCCACCTTCACTTTCACATGCAGGTTGCGCTGTGCTTGGATGGACATCGATCGAATGAGTTGCCCCTTCAAGGGTGGTTATGTGGATTCAAGAGTGCTGCTATACATAACTCGGATTCATTCCCCACCAAGATCCACACGAAATAGCCCAGCTCTTATCGTTCAAATAGCCCACCTCTTATCCTTCAAGTTTCATAGCGAGAACAAGTGAGCAGTTAGTCCAGAGTAATCTCGTAGTGCCTCCCGCTCTTTGCTCCGCCCCTTGTATCTCCTCGTGCGCTCGTTTCTTTGAGAGGTTGTGCCGATGGCTGCGGACGGTACGTCAGTGCAGGCGGTGAAGGGGCTGGACATAGCGGTGCTGGCGGGGAAGTGGTACACCATAGCCAGCATTCCTCCCAAGGGGCAACCGACGGACAGCAGCGGCAACACGACGACGTACACGGTGAACAAGGACGGGACAAGCCTCAAGGTGGTCAACGAAGCCATCATGGCCAACGGCAAACACGGGAAAGTGGAGGTGCGACCATGAGGATTGAGAACCAGAGAGGGACCAAGGAAAGAGGAGGAGAAGCGAGGGTAAGCACGAATCTCTAACTCTTCATGCTCCCTTTCTTTCCACTCTACCCTGGACATCTCTTCGCTAACCTTCACATCACGACCCCTTTCGACCCGTTTCCTCCCCGTCCCTGCTTCAGGGTAAGCTGGCGAAAGCGAAGGACGCAGGCGAAGAGGCGCGGTTCGGGCAGACGTTATGGGTGCCGCCGTTTGCGCCGATCATTCCTGTGCACACGGACATCTGGGTGATGGCGACGGAGGAAGGCGACAACCCCCAGTACATGCTGCACGGCCATCCCGCAAGACAGGCGCTCTGGGTACGTGTACCGTGTTGAGTGGGTGAATGGGATTCATGGGCAAAAGCGAGCGTGAAGAGTATGTGAGAGCAGCTAGAGGACGTGGCAGGAAACCGTTAGTGGGCCGCTTTACCATTTGAACAAGTTCTTTGCTGACAGTGACCCGTTGCCCTGTTCATTGCCATCGTACCTCTTTGCACAACCTCACAAAACTTAGTTGTACTGTGCCTGTCGCTAACTCCATCTTATTATGTATGCACATTGGGTGCTTACAAATTTTTTTTTTTTTTTTTTTTTTTTTGTGTGTGAAATCCTGTATGCAGATACACAGCAGAACGCCAGAATTGCCTAAGGAGATTGTTGATAAGCTGCTGCAGGTAAGAGAGCGCTTCAGCAATTTACACAAATTTTAGTGCTGTTCAAATTCTCCAACGAGGACTGGATTTAATTACTTGCCCTGCAATTTCCATTCACAGATGGCGGCTGACCAAGGATTTGACTTGAGCAAGCTCATTTATTACAAGCAATCTGCTCCAGAGCCATCAGCTTGAAAGTAGCAGTTGCCATGCCATACTGTATCGCTACAGAGGTAGTCTAGAGGAATGCTAGATCTGGTGTGTTGTGTAGGAGTTGGAGAATTGTTTGCAACCAGTGAATATTTTTTCAGTTACGGTACGTATTGCATGTTGAATGATGTGGCTTGAAGTGATATACTTTGAAGTAATTTTGTTGACTGAATCGCAGCTAAATGTGGGGTCCATCCAAGGCAGCATAAGCTATGGGGTTATTGGACATATATATAGAGAACCATTTTACCTTGGCCATGTTACAACCTGGTAGACCATCTTGTCAAGCATGCCACCTAGTTTTTCGGCTAGCGCCCAGTCAGCGTCACCTGTCGTGCACACAAGGGTCACATCCATCAAAGCCATATTGACGTGTCAGCTGATCTCTTCCCTCCATCGATCCACGTCATCACTGGTCTGTCTCCCCCCCACCCCCGATTCTTCCTAGCACACTTCGCCTGCTCCTCTTGCTCGCCCTCTTGGCCCACCCCATTTTGCTCTGCTCTGCTCCGTTCTGGTCGCTATTCCCACGCCTTTTCACTTTCTCCTCAACCTTGCTTCACCTCCCAACCATGGCGGCCGCCAAGTCCCTCCTCTCCAGCCATGCTGTTGTGAGTATCTTTTTACCGCCATGTCAAGGACAAGAAAGATATGGTTCAAAGATTTTTGGCTCGCATCTTGATTGGTTCGGTGAATTTGCACTGGTCACTACTTCGTGCCTCACCGTTACTAAGCAAAATCACAGCAGAGATTCATGCTCTTACCGAATCCTCCCCATCTCCCGTACCTCTCATCCCGTCCGGCTATCTCCCGTCCATCGCACCCGCTTCCGCACCCCACGCTTGAAGCTGGTCACGCATGATACGCGCGCATCTGTCCAAGTCTCCGCGTGCCCGCTCTCAATCGTCCTCTCCCCCACCTGTGCCACTGTCTCGTCGTTTCCCTATCAGCAAGCCGTGTCGCGCGTGTCCATGGCTGCGACCGTGAGATCGCGCGTGGTCGCCGCGTCCTTCGTGGCGCCGTCTCGTTCGTCGGCGTCGTCCCTCGCGGCGTCGTCGTCCTCGCTCATGTCGCCGCTCTCCGCGGCGTCGCTCGCGCCCGCCACTACGCGCCGTCAAGTCTCGTCCTTCTCCACGGCGCCCCGCGCTCAGGTGTGTATGCCGAGCTTCGCGTTTGTCGACCAGCCGTGCGTTCGGTTTGCGACATGTTGTCCATGTCCCGAGTTCGCCATAACATCGTGAAACCCGTTTTTCCGCCATCGTTTCCTCACCCTCTCTCCCCACCTCTCAACCCCTTCCTCTTCCCCTTCTCTCCATCCGAACCACTCAACTCCGTCCCCCTCATCCTTTCCCCCCTGCGCGGCGGGCGGGCGAGCAGGCGGGGGCGGAGCCGAAGGTGACGTCGAAGGTGTATTTCGACGTGGAGATCGGCGGCAAGCCCGCTGGTCGCATCGTGCTGGGGCTCTTCGGGGAGAACGTTCCCAAGACCGCCGAGAACTTCCGCGCCCTCTGCACCGGTGCGCCTCGTGTCGCCTCTGTTGTTGATGTATCGCGCCGTGTGATTCCCATCCACCCGTATTTGCCGTCTGTGGCCGTCCGTTTTCCCCTCTCGCGCGCCTAGATTTGCGCTGTCCTTACAACCGCTTGCTGCTTGCCCCCTCAACATGTACTTACCACCGCTCTCCTCTACTGTCCTCCGCCCTTCTCCCTCACCGGTCCTCTTCGCCGCTTCTCCCCCGGGCAGGCGAGAAGGGCTTCGGGTACAAGGGGTCGGCGTTCCACCGCGTGATCCGTGACTTCATGATCCAGGGCGGCGACTTCACCGCCGGCAATGTACGTCACCCGCCTCACCCCGCCTCACCCCGCCTCACCCCGCCTCGCCTCGCCTCGCCTTACCCCGCCTCGCCCCGCCGCACCCCGCCTCGCCCCGCCTCACCCCGCCTCGCCTCGCCTCGCCTCGCCTCGCCGTCACCCTGCCCCGCCTGCTATCCTTCTCCCTACTTTCAAGTCGTTGGTGTGCTTGGCTGATGCGCAGTATTATCCATCTCTCCCTGTGTCGATTGCCTGCGCCGTACCGCGTCCTCTCGCCTGTATTCACCTCTCCCTCTCTCTCCCACACACCCGTGCTACTTTCCCACCCACCCTGAACCGCGTGTGCCTGCGTCCCCCTACCCATCTGTGCGGCGTGGTGCGGCATGGCGGCGGCAGGGCACGGGCGGCAAGAGCATCTACGGGCTCAAGTTCGCCGACGAGAACTTCCAATGTACGCGCCGCTTGGGCAGGGTCGCGCATGGGCTGCGCGCCCTGGATTTGGGCTTGCAAGAGCATTGGGGGAAGGGTGGGGGGGGGGGGGGAGGGGGCGGATGGGGGGAGGGGAGGAAAGAGTGGACGGGGGGTGGAGGAAAGATGATGTACCCACGCACGCATTGGTGTTAGTGTTGGCTGGTGTGATGTGCTGAAGTTGAACCCACCTGTTCCCCTGCACTCACTACTGCCTGTGCGGTGATGTATTTCCCCCCGCTGTGCTGTGCGTGTGCGCAGTGAAGCACACGGGCCCCGGCATCCTGAGCATGGCGAACGCGGGTCCCAACACGAACGGCAGCCAGTTCTTCATCTGCACCGTCAAGGTGAGCCCGCGTACCGCGCCTGCTGCTCGCTCCAACGCGCTGCACGGTTCTGGTATTGGTATGCAGCATTGGTGGCGACACTGGTTGGTGGGCCGTTGTGCTGCCCATCTCCGTGTGCTGCGCCACATGCTCATAGGTGCATGGTGCACAGCATGATGAGCAAGTGTCCATGCATGAGGTATGGCGTGGCTGAGTGTGCTGTGCTGCCTGAACCGTATGCTGTGCTCCCGCCCTGGCCTCACCTGGGCCGTTGCTCATCTGTGTGCTCCACCGCATACTTTCTCTTTCCCCTACGTGATGTCCGCCTGCTTGCTGCTTGCTCCCATGTGCGCGCACACACCCTCGTGCGCGTGCTTACCATTGAGTGTGCCCTTGCATGCTTTTCTGTTTGTTTCGTTATTTTTGTGCACGTGCAGACGCCATGGCTGGATGGCAAGCACGTGGTGTTTGGGCAGGTGTTGGAGGGGTTGGACGTGGTGCGCACCATAGAGGGCCAGCAGACGGACCGCATGGACCGGCCCAAGGCCCCCTGCGTCATTGCCGACTCGGGCGAGCTCCCCCTCTAAATGCCCGCATGCATGCCGCTCTCGCTCCTGCTTAGGAGTGGAGAGAGTTTTGGGTGAAAGTTGGGCAAGTAGGATAAAATGTTGCTGTCGGGTGCTGTTCCTTAGGATGCAGTTGGCAGCTCGAAGTGAACGTGTTTTGTGTGACAGGATGGATTTCCGATTCCTGGAAACAAAGCTGTGACCTAATGGTCATTCACATTTTTGCGAAGTCGTGTTTTGTAAGTCATAACGAAACCTGGGACGCATCAACCAACCACCCTCGGCTTGCCACTTTTGAAAGGTGCAGCTGCTGATCGCCGTCTGCAGCTAAGGACGCGTCTCCTGAACGACGATCGTGCAAAAACCGATCTTCGACCGCACTGGGAACCTGCGTATTGCATTCAGAAGTTCTAGACGTTTTTCAAACCACGAAAATTTTTTGATCCTACGTAGGATCGATCGCAGGATCGGCGTTCAGGAGACGCGTCCTAACATCCCACCCACCCTGTCACCAACCGCCCGCCGGCCTCAAACCACCGTACCGTTCACTCTCGCACCCTTCACCCGTCCCTCATTCCTCTGCTCGCGTCGCTCTTCTCGCCGCCATGCACGCCACGTCGCACTCCACGCTTCCGCGCAACGCGCTGCGAGTGGTGGCGGTGGCGGCCGTGGTGCTGCTGGCGTACTTCCTCGGGCCGCCCATCTACTGGCGCCTCGCCGCCGCCGACAACGGCCCCGACGCGCCCATCCAGCCGGAAGTTGGTAAGACGCGCCGCGAGAAATAGTTGCAGCGGGGGAGGCGGAGACGGAGCGCGAGCAGCGAATGCCGCGCGTGCGCTATAGGGGCATGGCGAATGGCTGGCAGTCTGCGAGGGCGGCGGGTATTAATGCGGGGTCCGCGCCACCTGCGGCGGTGTCTGCGCGCGGCAGGATTCACGTGGCACGCGGTGGAGTAGGGGTCCCAGACAACCACCATGCGCGTTACGGCAGTTACATCATCCTAGTAGCTCTCCCACTCTGCTCAACCACCCCCTGGAACCGTCGCCCTGGCCCGCTGTGTCCTTTGCCCATCATCTCCCTCCTTCTCCCGCTCTATTTCCAATTCCCGCGCCTACCGTCCTGCCCTCCCCCTTTTCAATTTTATCCCACTTCTCTCGTCCGCCTATCCTTCTCATCCCATGTCCTAATCCACGTGCCATTGCTCCGCCCCTCCGCCCTACCCACTTCCGCCCTTCCGCCTCCCCCTCCCCTTTCCCCGCCCGCGCACATCCGCCAGACCCTGAGGTAGAGCGTCTGAGGTCCGTGGTGGAGGGCGCGGCTGCTGCTGGGGGGGACGCTGCTCATGGGGGAAAGGGCGCTGGTTGGAGGGAGGGCGCTGGTGCTGGTGGGGAGGGCGGCAGTGTGGGCGGCGCATCAGATGGTGGTGGTGACAGCGGTGGTGGTGGGGCACAGGGCGTGCACGTGCACATGGGGTCCGCGGGGACAGTGGCGGAGGGCAATGCGGGCGGGATTGTAGCCAGCAGCGAGGGCGAAGAGGAAGGGCATAGGGATGGGAGTGGGGATGGGGATGGGGGGGCGCGTGCGGAAAGCGAGGAGGGCGACAGGGGTGCTGTGGCCGGGGCGGAGAGCAAGGGAGCAGGCCATGCGAGCAATGGTGAGGGCAGGGATGGGGAGAGCCAAGGGGGCGAGAGTGGGGCGGGTGGGGAGGAGGGGAAGGAGGAGAGTGATGGGGGAGCAGGTGTGGAGAGTGAGGGTGCTGGGAAAGGTGGGGAGGCTGTGCAGGAAGGCGAGGAAGGAAAAGAAGTAACGGTGGGAGATGATAAGGGTGGTGAGGCGGAGGTGGAGCAAGGCAGAGAGGAAGGCGCGTCCGGGCACAGTGATGGCGAGGGGGAGCAAGACAATGAGTACAAGGCTCCAGCGGACGAGGAGAATGGTAGCCATGCACACACACACGCTCATGCACATGCTGATGCAGGTGCAGACGCAGACGCAGACGCAGACGCAGACGCAGACGCAGACGCAGACGCAGACGCAGACGCAGACGCAGACGCAGACGCAGACGCAGACGCAGACGCAGACGCAGACGCAGACGCAGACGCAGGTGTGCATGGGGGCGGGAAGAGTGGCGGCACGCGCAGAGGTGACCCTCGGAGCAGGGAGGAGGCAGAGGAGGAGCAAGGTGGTACAGAGGTGGAAGAAAGGAGTGCAGGGAGCAAGGATGAGGAGGAGGAGCAAGATGCGGACTCCATTCGAGTGAGCAGCCGCAAGATGAAGACCAAGGCAAAGAAGAAGATGAAGAGCAGGACTAAGGGCAAAAGGACGTCTAGGTCGCGGTCGCACGTGGGGGAGGAGGAATGAGGAGAGAGGCTCAGGTTGGTGGTGGGCGGCAGAGGTGACACAATGCACCGTACCGTACTAGTGGGGTCTTCAGCTCCTGCCATTTCATATGCCACCTCCTGTTGGCTGGGAGAATGTGCTTTTTGCTGTAACGTTCAGGTGATCAACAAGGTTCGGTGTGGTTGTGCTATCAAACAAGAGTTGCATACAGAGAAGAACCGCTAAGATGAGATTATGTAATACTGTTACACAGATCCACGGCTCTCAACAGGGGAAGAATAGAGTTGTGTGTTTGTGGCAGTGTAGGCGCTGGTGGGCTCTGCCTTCATTCCACGCTGGAAAAGATGGCAACTCTTCCTTTTCCTGTTGCCACCCCCAGTGGAACTGCAACAACCTTGAGGTGAGGGCTTCATATAAATATTATGAGTGATGATATAGTAACCAGTTGCTTCTATTGCAACTGGAGTAGGTACATATAGCATGATTAGTAGGTAAGTGGTTAGCAGGGAGAGAATCCGGCTCTCAGTAAGGTAGTAGCTGAGCACACGGCAGCGTACTGTTGGGTTCCAGTGCAGTCCACATGAGTGCCATCAGCGACGCCAGAACAAGTTGCAGCGCACATGGGGCTCCTGCTTCTCGCCCACCACCATCACTTTACCCCCTTGCTCCGCGTGTCCGCCCCGCGCCTGCACGAGGCAGCGCTGCAGCTCCAGCAGCACGCGGTGCTTGCTGCTCATGCGCCGGCACAGCGCCCGGCCCTTGCCCTGCACGGCAGCGAGTCGCTGCAGCGTGCGCTGCGCCTTCCCCAGCAGCACCTCCGCCTCCCTCACCTGCCCGTGCGACCGCTCCACCACCCCCTCCACCATCTGCGCGTCCATACCCCCTCCCATGTCGTCCCTGCCTTCTTTACACCCGTCGCTGAGCGTGGGGCGTGTGCTGTGCTCCAGCACGGCGGCCATGTGCACGTACACGGCTTCAGTCACCGCCTGCAGCGACGCCCGGCACCACTCTAATTCCTTCTCCACCTCCTCGCCCACCGCAACACACTGCCCTTCCCCTGCTCCTGCCCCACCTGCTGATGCTCCGGCTGCAGCAACGCCCTTCCACACGCCGCCCACGACCCACTTGTTGAGCTTGGAGGGGCTTCTGGACGCGCCCACAGGGGACACACACAGGGGGTGCAGCGCGGGGCGAGGGAGGGGCAGCAGCACGCTCAGCTGCTTGCGCCTGCTGCCCCCCGCCTCGGCGCCAGTGCCGCCCTGCGCATGCTCGCTCAGCTCGCATGCCCCACCCTCATCGTCTCCCTCCTCAACGGCATCACTGTCCCGCCCACTCTCGCTCCTGCTTGCATTCCGGCTCGTGCCACTGACCGGAGGTGCATCCAGGGGTGCATCAGCAGCTGTGCCGTCACCGTGTGACCCGCCTCTGGGGATAAGCCTCGTCGCCTCCCCCGACTGCTCTCCCGCCTGGGACCTCTCCACCCCCTCACCATCCACTTCGGATCCCTCCACCCGCCCACCACTGATCTCGCCCTCCTTCGCCCCGTGCCCGCCTGAATCGCCCGTGGAGGTGACGTCATCATCATCGTCATCCCTGTGGTGTGAGTGGGTGGCGATCATGCCATCCAGGCTCTCGCCCTGCCTGCTGCTCCACGACCCCCTCTCCCCGTCCATGTCACTATCCATGCTCTCCCCCCAATCCTCACTGCGCCTCTCTCCCTCCTCCTCGTGCTCCCCACTACCACTGCTGCCACCGCTCTGTGCTGCGCTACTGCCTCCTTGCTGCACGCCATGCTCCCCACCCTCACTGCCTCCGCCAGTTTTCGTCTCATACCTCTCATACCCCTCGTCTCCCTGCCAAGCGTCCTCGCCTGCACTGCTGCAGCACCCCTCCAGCAAGCCGCCATGCTGCCCGCCACACGCGTCGTCCTTGCCTCCGCCCCTGCCCTCAACGTGCCCTCCAGCGTTCCTCCCGGCGTGCCCCCCCTCTCCCCTGATCACCCGCACCCACCTGCTGTCCGCGCCCCTCTCCCCCAAGCACAACCACTGCCCTCTCCGCCCACCGCCCTCCCCACCGCGCTCACGCTCTACCCTCTCGCACTCCTCTTCCCCGCCATCCTCCTCCTCCCCCCCCCCCTCCGCCTCCCCCTCCCCCTCCCCCTCCCCTTGCTCGTCCTCCGCGACGGCATCCCCAGCGCCCAGCAGTGCCAGCAGCTCCTCATCCTCGTCGCTCGTCTCCCCCCCGCCCTGCCCCTCCGCGTCGCTGCTCCGCTTCCGCTTGCTGGTGCGCGGGAGCGCGCGCGCATGCGCGCCGTGGAGCAGTTTGAGCAGCAGCAGCTTCAGCCCCGCGCACAGCTGCACCATGCCCTGCTCCACGCACTCCTTCTCCTCCGCCCACTCCCACACCCGCTCCGCCTCCCCTACCAGATTCCCCAGCTCCTCAGCTATCCACGCCGGGCCCCGTTCTCCCCTCCCGCGCGCGCGCATGCCACCCTCGCCTCGCTCTTCTTCCGCCTGCCTTCCCGCGCAGCCCAGCAGCCCCCGCCATGTCTCACGCGTGCACGCATCGTCGCCTCCCCCGCTCACAGAGCTCAGGCTCTCCTCTCCCTCCCCCTCCCCCTCGCGGATGACATGCCGTCTCCGCCTGTCCCTTGCGCCCGCCCTCGATCCCCCGACCCCGCCCCGCAACCTGTCCCCGCTGCCCCACGCGCGCGCGCGCGGGCGGCACCCCACCACGGCGGGGCCGTACAGCCCCGCGAGCTCGCCCGAGTCGGAGAGCGCGCCGCGGAAGTGGAACGAGAACTCCGACGCCGTCTCGTCGTCCGACCCCGCCTCGCGCTCCCCGCCCGCCACCCCCCGATGCCGCGGTTGCGCGTCGCTGTCCCGCTCGCACCACTCCGCGCTTGCCTCTCCGCCTTGCTCCGCCTGTCGTCGGCTGGGGCTGCTTTCGCCAGTAGACGCGCGGCTGCCGCTGCTGGTGGTGCTGGGCTTGCTGCTTTTTCCCGCCGCGCCCACTCTCGCGCGTATCATCTTCTGGCGGCATCCGCTGCACAGCCCCGTCATGCTGCCCCCGCTGCGACTGCTCCCCGCGCTGCTCGTCTCGCAGCTGCTCGCGCGAGACTTCCCCTGGCCCTCCGCCGCTTCCTTGCCGTGCAGCATCGGCGGGGAGGCGCACAAGTGCAGCGGCGGCGGGTCCGCAAGCCCCTCCGCGCACGGCGTCGGGCCGGCATCGACCTCCGGCTCGATTTCTCTTACCGCGCTCTCCTCACTCTTCTCATCCCGTCCGCCCAACGTCGCTTCCGCCTCACCCTCCCCGCGGCCCTCCGTACCGGACCCCTTCTCGCCACCTCCCTCCGCACTTATCTCAACATCGTCCTTGCTCCGCTCGTGCTCGCCCCGCGTCACCCCGCCACCGCCGTCCCCCTCATTCCCCCCCTCCCCTTCACTGTTCCGCTGGGCGTGCTCCGCGGGCCCCCGGGCGGCGCGGAGCACCTTGCCCTGCTGCAGCAGGCGCTGCATGAGCTGGTCGTTCACCTGCCGCAGCGTCCGCAGCGCCTCGTTCGCGCGCTCCTCGCGCTCCATGGCCACCATGGCCATGGCCTGCGCCGCGCTCAGCTCCTCCTCCATGTCGCTCAGCAGCCCGCGGAACTGCTGCTCGCGCTGCGCCGCTGACTCGCACACCTGCTCGATCTGCTCCTCCAACTCCGCTACCTCCTCCCGCGCCTGCCGCTCCGCCTCGCTCACCCGCTCAGCCCGTCCGCCTTCTCGCGCGTCGCCGTCTACTTCCCCCGCGCATTCCGCCTGTTCAAGCGCATCTGCTAACTCTTCCTGCAGCCGCTCTACCTCCCGCGCCAAAGCCGCGCGCCCCCGCTCCACTTCCAACCTCCGCCAGCATTCCGCCTCCGCCACTCGCTCCGTCGCGCGCGCCACCTCTCTTTCCGCGCTAAGAGCCGCGCGCAACTCGTCAATCTGCGGGGAAAGAGAGTTGGAAGCAGGGAATGGCACGTGGGAGGATACTGAGACGGGGAGAGAGAGATGTAAGGCGGGCTAAAGGGCACGTGGGAGCTGGAGCGCGCAGGGGCGAGGAGAGCGGCGCGGAGATGAGCGCGTTACCTCGGCGTAGAGCAGCTTCTCGTTCTCCTGCATTTGCTCCAGGTGTCGCCTGTACGCGCGCACTTGGTCCGCCGCCTGTGACGTGTTCGCGCCCGCCTCGCCCTCCTCTTTGCTCGCCCCGCCGGCCGCCTTCCCGTCGCTTCCCCCAGATTTATCCTCCCCCCAATATTTCCCTCCCCCTTGGCACCCCGTCGCCATGTTCGCGCCGCCCTTGTGCACCCTCCAACCTTCCCCCCCTCTCTCCTCCCCGTGGGCCGCGGTAACGGCATTAGCATGTGGGGCGATGGATTCCGCGGATGAATTAGGGGGAAGAGGGAGTGGCGGTATGATGGAGTGACTGACTGGAGGGGGAAGAGTGGGTGATGGCGTGGCGACGTGAGGACTGCTGCCGTGGGCGTGCGCGCACCGATCCACCATCTCCGTGCTGCCAGCGCGACGAGGGAAGGTCACAGCCGGGGAGGGACGGAACAACGCAATTGGGAAAAGGGAAACCGTGAAGGGCGCGAATGGGGATTACGAAGAAGACGAATCCGCCAGAGGTCGGCGCGAATCTGATGCGCACAGCGACCAGCAGTAAAGGGGTGTTTTGGGAATTACAAAGGTGAAATACCATGGCGTAAGATGCGCGACACCAATCATGCAGTAGGAGTTACAGAAGGCTCTAGACAGAACGACCGTCTCCCGACAATTACCAAAGGCTGCGACTTTAGGGAGAGTTGGGCTGTGAACTGGTCGTCGCAAAGCTGCTCATCATCGGATATAAGGTATCTGCGCTGATATGCTGTCTAGACTTCGTCGCAAGCACGGACTCACGCTCTATTCGTCACTGCTAGGCTACCCTGCGCAAAAGTACGAAGGTCCAGGAATGTAAGGCGGAACCAAGAGGTGGAGAAAAGCTTGCTGTTGCTGTGGTGAGGAAAGGATACCAGCAGATAGGGAAAGAGCTGTCTGAGGAGGAGGCATCAGAGTAGGGTCTAGTGGTGATGCGAGTGTGAGGAGCGCAGCGCAAGACAGGGAAGATGGGGGCATCACTGCCGCGCACTCACATCACATCCATCGCAAAATAGAATAGCAAGTACGGCACACCACCATGCCGCACCACACCACGCAGCAAATTGCATGAAAGGCGCCTCGGCTGTGGTGCTGGTGCTGCACTGATGAGTGGCGCGAAATGACATCAACTCTTGACATCGCGGGGAAAATTTTGAACAGTACAGACACTCTCCTCGCTAACGGCACTCAAAAGCATGTAACACGAATAGGCAATGGAACTAGTGATTCACCTAATCCTAAACAAGTATTAGTGCCAACTTAATACAAAAACAAGAAAACTGAAATACATGTTCTCCGGCTCAATAAAGAAATGTCTGAAACAAAGACAACATGAATATCTAAACTAATACTGCAAATAAATGTGTTTGTACATTGACCATTGCACAATTTGGTAAATTGGTATGCACTGGATACTCTCAGAAAGTAGCTACAGCGGAATGAGTTGCATAGATTTTGTTGGGGTACAAGTACATAACCCTAACTGTTTGTACCCCATATAGCATGACCCACTAAAGGCTATAACATTTGACACACCCCCATAGCCTAAGTGGGGAATGCCAAGCAACAAGAAACGCAACCTAAGGTCACAAGACCAGTCACAAGCAAGAGAGAAAACAAAGCTCAGGGTGGATCACAACGTCACCACACAGTCTGAGCACAAACAAGGGGCCACAAGGCCAGTTCAAGAGTGTATTGTTAACGGGAATGGAGTGTTGGCCCCGCCCTCGCTTGGGCAACGCCGACGACTTGGTCGGATGTACGGGTGAAGCAGCCGACCGTTCGCAGTGAAGGAGCTGCTCGACGGGCTTCGTCGAGCTGCAGGATGTCACTGTGGAGCAGTCCGTCGACCTACAGCTCGACGGGGAGGTCTCTGGAGCATCCCGTCGAATTGCAGCTCGACCGGGAGTACTGGGGGGCATCCCGTCGACCTGCAGCTCGACCGGGAGGTCCGCGAAGCATCCCGTCGACCTGCGACTCGACCGGGAGGTCGACGGAGCAGTTCTGGTCGACGGAAGGGGTCCGTCGACCAGGGGGTAGCTCGACGGGAGCTGTGGTCGACCAGAGGCACCTGGTGGTCGACCAGAGGGAGCTGTGGTCGACCGGAGGCACCTGGTGGTCGACCGGAGGCACTGGTGGTCGACCGGAGCACCTGGTGGTGTCCGGATCGATCAGGTAACCTGCTCGACGAGCTCTGCGAAGGCACGCGAACGTCGTCGAGGTCGCAATGGCGAAGGCGACTGCGGGCTGGTATCCCGAAGTCGATGTGGCTCGTCAGGCGCAGACAACAGCCGACGGATGCCCAACAAGGCAAGTCGGGCCAATCGTCTGCGCGCACCTGCGAGCGTGCGCACTGCTGTCTTCTACGGGGCAACGCTGGACAGCCGCACAGCTGCAGCGTTGGCACGCCGTCGACCTGCAGTGTTGGCAGGTCGCTCTTCTGCAGTGCTGGCGCGGCTCCTCTACGCAATGCTGGCACGCGGTCGACCATGCAGTGCTGGCGGTCGACCAGGCTAGCTGCAGAGTTGCTAGGTGCCTGATGTAGTCCATTCTGTCATTGCTTGTTCTATCATTCTGTAATTCCAACTTTGCTAGTGGAAACTCTTGCCAATTTCTCCCGTGAATGTGCAAGCACTAAGGAACTAAGCAAAGCTACGATCACTCCTAGTAGTTCGTGCCAACCCCGTAGTCTAGCTCACTACCGTTGTAGAGTGTATCTCCTCATGGTACGGTGAGCGTGGACGGCCCCGCAAATTACCTTCAGATAGGAGCCGACTTTTGCACCTACTAAGTCGTTCGTAGGCCAGCAGCAGCGTTAGTCGCCATGGTCGACCCCGTAGTTGATGCGGGCGTAGCGGACACCTTGGAGACACGCTTGGCTGATGGGAGGAGACGCCACGCAGATGGCGAGTACGGGACGATCCCCTTGACGATCGTCGAGTTGGGCATCCGGGCGCAGTGGGCGACGGATCACCCTTCCCGTCCTGCATCTCCTCGACCGGTGCGAAACGAAGGTGGCGTCGACGTCGAGGTCGACGGAGGTGCTCGAGTCAGCGGCAGCGAAGGCACGAGGCAGAGAGGGGTGATCAAGGTCGACGGTGGCGTCGACGGGATACAAGCGCGGGTGCAGCGGTCGACGGCGGCTGAGGCATCTCGCGTGTCGACGTCGATGGTCGACGTCGCTCTCCTCTACGAAGTGGTGGAGGTCTCTCGGCGACGACGCATGTGACGGCGGGCGGGATTGCACCGGCGTATGGCTACTTCAAGTTCTCGCCGGACCGAATCACCGTCGCACCGCTGCAAGGACGACGTGACCTCATCACTTGGAGGGAGTCGATCGAACCTCAGCTGGAGGTCGCCGGGCTGAAGGGCTTCGCCGACGGCACCGTGCCGTTTCCGCCCGAGGAGGATGTCGAGTTGCGCGGGGAGTTTCGCGCTGCTCACCTGCTCACTTTCATGGTCATCTCGAGGTGCTGCTCGCCGGTGGTGCAGCTAGCGCTCAGGAGCTGTCGAGAGCGACTTGATGCTGGTCACCAGGCATGGCGCTTCATCCTGTCGACGTACCAGGTGAAGGACGACCTGTACATCGGCCAGCTGGAGGAGAAGATGACGCATATGCGGATGGGCGAGCAGGAGTCGGCGACGGACTACTGCAACCGTGCTCGACGGATCCTGGCGGAGATGCGGATGGCGGGCGCCGAGTACTCGACGGCGTCCTACATCACTCACCTCGTCAAGGGCCTGCCGCGCAGCTACAACCTCATGAAGAGGATGATGATGGTGCCCGGCACGCGTGAGTCCCTCGACGAGGACTCCATCACCAGCTACATCCTCCAAGACGAGGCGATGCAGGAGGCCGAGCAGCCCACGGAGCTCCTTCCGCAGGCAAACTACGCTGCACCGACGAAGCTGAATCAGCAGCAAGGGCAGCGCGGGAAGCCGGGCGGAGGTGGTAGCGGAGGTGGGCGGTCGACGAAGGACGTCGACGAGAAGAAGTCGACGCAGAGCAAGGGCCGTGGAGGCGGTGATCGACGGCGGGAGTGCTGGATCTGTGGCGACCCCGACCACCTCTCCTTCGAATGCCCCGACCGCGATGACAGCGACGAAGACAACAGCAAGGGAGGCCGCGGTCGATCGGCCAGCCGTCGCCCACGTCGAGATGAGAAGCCGCGCAAGGAGAAGAAGGCGTCGAAGAAGGCGTCGTCGACGAAGGAAGTCGACAGCTTTAGCGGCAAGGACCGAGGCGACGGGGAGGCGTCGTGCTCGATGGTCGGCGTGGTGGAGCCGACAGTCTCGCTGGCGCCGGAGGCTGGCGAGGACTTCCAGGCGGTGGCGGCAGCCGTGCAGGCCAACCCGATGGCAGTGCTGCTCGACAGCGGGTGCTCCCACCACCTGATGGGGACGAAGGCGGTCTTCGTCGACATGGGGCCGAGCGACGGCGTGAAGCACGTACGTGGGTTCAACGGCGCACTGCAGCCTGTTGAGGGTCGCGGAACCGTCGCTCTGCAGGGGGAGGCCGGGAAGCGGGTCCTCATCCCCGACGTGCTCTACGTTCCGGGCGTACATGCGAACCTGCTGTCTTCTGGTCAGCTAAAAGAGAGCGAAGTGCAGCTGCAGGGCGACGGCGACGAGATGCTGCTCGTCACAGCGACCGGGGAGGTGCTCAGTAAAGCACGCTACACCGGACGAGTCCTCTGCACCGACCTTCGCCCCTGCTCGACGCGGTCGCCATCGACCGAGGTGGTCGCTCTGCGGACGATCGTCTTGACGATGAAGGTGACTCCCGACCGGCTGCACGCGAGGCTCGCGCATGTCGGCATCGACACGATCAAGAGCTCGGCAAAGCATGAAGTTGCTGCTGGGCTCGACATCACGCCGTCGACCGGAGCAGACCCGCCGTGTGTCTCGTGCGTCGGAGGAAAGCTGGCGCGGCACACCTTCCCCGACAAGGGCTCGGATGCCGAGGAGGCACTAGCTGTCGTGCACATTGACTTGTGCGGGCCATTCCGAGTGGCTGCCAAGGATGGCAGCTTGTACTTCCTGCTGCTGAAGGATCGCCACACTCGATTCGTGTGGGCGATGCCGGTCGCTAAGAAGAGCGACGTGCTGCGGGAATTCCAGAAGTGGCTGGTGCTGGTGGAGCGGCAGACGAAGTCGTCGGTATTGTCGCTCCGCTCTGACCGGGGAGGGGAGTTCCTCGGACGGGATTTCACCAACTTCGTCGACGGGAAGGGCATCGTCCACGACCTGACGTGCCCCTACACTCCGCAGCAGAACGGCATGGCTGAGCGGGAGATGCGCACGGTCGTCGAGTCCGTGCGGACGATGCTGCTGCACATGGGCGTGCAGCACCACTGGTGGCACCTCGCTCTTCGACAGGCCGTCTGGGTGCGCAACTGCTTGGAGCGGTCGACGACGCCGCCGGGGACAACGCCGTACCAGCTGCTGACCGGGAAGAAGCCCGACCTCACGCTGGCGCGGGTGTGGGGCTGCATGGTGCAGTTCATGGTTCCCGAGCAGCAGCGCGGTGGGAAGCTGGCGCCGAAGGCTCGCTGGGGACTT